AAAAAATTAAAATTTCACTCAAAGTAGGTGGCCACATGTATTCTAAACTATTCTGTGAAGTTTTGAAATTTTTGATTTTTTTTTGGACGCCTACAAAAATTTAAATTTCATTAAAAGTGGGTGGCCACAGGTATTTTAAGCCATTCTATTAAGTTTTGAAATTTTTGATTTTTTGATTTTTTTGAAAAATTCAACAAATTTCCTATTTTCCCGAAATCTGAATTTTTTTTATTTTTTGGAAATTGTGATGAATTTTTCTAGAATTTTTCAATTTTTTTTGGATTTTTTTGAATTTTTTTGAGATTTTTTAGGAATTTTTTGGATTTTCTAATTATTTTTATTCCATTTCTAAAAAAATGGATTTTTGTTCCTGGAAATAGAATTTTGTGTTGTTTATCAAACGGGTTTTTGTTTCAGGAAATAGAAATTTTGTGTTGTTATCAAACGGATTTCTGTTCCAGAAATAGAAATTTTTTGTTGTTATCAAATGGGTTTCTTTTCTCAGAAACTCATCCTGGAACCAGAAATAGAAAAATCTATTTCTGTTTCAGGAACTCATTCTGGAATAGAATGGTTATCATTCGCTACCTTAGATTCCCAAAACTTGTTCTGTGAATCCGAGAACCTGCAACAAATCGCGAAACTACTTCCAGTTGGCAACGAATGAGAAATCTCTTTATATTTTCCCTTATGATTAATTACATGGCCCAGCCAAGGAAGTTGTTAAAATGTTTCTGTCAAAATAGTATTTTGTCTTTGTTTAAGAAATTCTGTGTATGCTTTTATTTTCAAGTAAGCGAGACAAAAATGTAGTCAATACCCAGCTAAGGAAGTCGTTAAAATGTTCTGTCAAAATAGTATTTTATCTTTGTTCAAGAAATTCTATGTAAGATTTTATTTTCAAGTAAGCGAGACAAAATTGTGGACGATAAGAGACAGCAATGAGCTTGAAATCTAGCTATTGAACTTTGATCCTCGGTTTTTAATTTTGTTTCCCTAGAAGAAATTGTCATAATCAACCAGCCACTGGCTATGGTGTGGAGGACAAGAGAGTGTGAACACGAACTGAGAAAAAAAGAGGATAATTTAAAAGAGGAAAAAAAAACCGAAACGTTTCCATTGAAATCTAATCTATAAGTTCAATGAAATCTCTTCTTCTCTTGTTTTTCCAGAAAGAAAATTGGAGAGAGTGACTCAATTCTTTCTATGGGTTCATATCCTAGGGTCCACAATAGTTGGTTGGCATACACCGGTTTGTTTTCATTCACTTAGCATCAGCTTAAAATTCAATTTCCCCACTTGAAATTTTGAGCTATATTGAGGTTAGAGCTACGTTGGTGAATAGAAGAGTAGTGGTAATTTTAATCATATGCTTTGATTGATGCTGTATGTTGAGCTGTAATGAAAATATGCGGGCAGTGATGGTTTGATCCAGAAGTCAAGACACAGATCCTTAACTTCAAGTGTAGTGTTGATCGTATTCAATGCTCTTGCATAGATGAGACGAGCCCAATCAATGATGAAGAACCCAAATAAAGCAGATCCGAGAGCTATATGTCCATATTATTTTCAACTTTAATGGAACTAAAATTTTACTAGAACTATTACTTTTACCATTACAAAAATCCCTTATTCTCATGATGATCAAGTATACTTCTAGATCGATTATTTCCTATAATCTATTTCACAAGTCTTTTTCCCTTGCTACACGTTCTTTTCTTTCCTTTCCTTCTTTTTCCTTACTTTTGGATAAAATATTAACGTCGTGGCAAAAAAAGACAACAATATGAACGTTAAAGATCCTTCCATGCTTAGCACAGGCGAACAAAAATGCTGGTGCATAAATTAAAATAATATCAGCTCGCGTGGTTGACTCTATTCAGCATCAAATATAGAAGGACCACCGGATAATGCCAAGGAGGCAACGACAAAGCAGGTACAGAGGAAGAATGCTTGAAAGTGACAAGGAAAGACCCACTTGAAGCAGTCAATGAAATGGCCTTGAAGGCAACAACCAAGCACATTGCTAAGTCCAGGTCAATGTTTTTTTTTTGGTCGAAAAGTCCAGGTCAATTAATCAGTTTATTTTTTTCTAATCACATCAATTATTTTATTTCATTGTAATTACTCATTAAAGAAATGGTGACTCCCGAGAGCCAATAGGAATGATGGTCCGGTTGATAAGGCCAGTAGGGAGCACAAGTCGAGGACGGCAAGAAGGCAACGACTGTACTTTTAGTCAATTAACAATTAAATTTTTAGCCAAAATTTGAAGCCATCTCTAGATTCTCAATGTGAACATTTGAAATATACGAAACGACAAACGTACTTCAAATACCTTCATCACTAACAATGCAAGATTCATAGAAAATGGTGAAGTTAGTGGGAGTAGGAACGACATAATATGAACCTAAAGGAAATTAGGGTAGATATTTCTTTTGCCCATAACTGTTCCTTCATCCACGGCTGCAAGTGTAGTTCTACTGAGGAACGTTGAAACAATAGCGAACAACATTTGGAAGAAATTCCAACACTATTCACAATATAACTGATATACAGCCCACAAATTCCACAAATTCCGAGGTTTGGTGAACTGTCGTACTAAACTTCACTTTCCACTAACTGCACATGTAGTAGTGCTCATAGAAGTTCGGATTCCCAGTTTGGTGACCTCGTGTATCTGAATTTCATATGTCACGACTGTATCGTGTCTTGACCTAAGCCTTATAGAATTTAATAAATGAGCTCGTCATTATCTTTCCCCAGTGGAGATAGGACCCGCAATTTATCTCCTTGCATCACAATAAGCACACCTCGAGTGACATTCAAATCTCCACCTTCAGTGGAGATCTGCTATCCAAGCCCGTTAAGAGCACTTAACGCGATAAGATTCTTTCTTAGATTTGTACATGCTTTATGTCTGTCAATGTTCTCACTACTCCATCGTGCACCTTAATCTGAACTATTTTGATACCTACTACTTCACAAGCAGCACTTTTTCCCATTAAACGCCTTACTACTCTATGTGCATTGTTCCGAATATAATTCCAGATTTTAGGGTCGTAACCATTGTACCAATTCAAGCATATTGATGATCAAGAAGACGAATATCAAGTAGTGCCATTTTTGTCACAATAGGCAATCCTTTTTTGTCATAGGAATTGAGGGCAAGGTAAATTATTCCAAAATGAAGATGCTTGTATATCTGCTGTATCCATTAATGAGGAAACTCATGAGTGATTTGGAGTTTAACAAATGGTTATGTCCAAGTACAGGGGATTGGGTGCTGATCAAAACTACACGACTGGACATATCTCTTAACTTTTTGAAGTTATGTGGAATGAATTAATTTTAGAGTTTATGGATGAGAAAGAGGTGGGTTTAGGAAAGGCGAAGTGTTTTAATCCATCCTTCATTTCACGCGAATTTCACTAGCATTCCGTTACTATCTACTTCGCACCTACCCATCTGTTGTCTCTTTCTTTCTCTCCGTCACTTCGTTGTCAACGTCACGAGAAGAAAGAGAAGGACGAGGCCGTGGGCCATCTCCTCGTCTATAAATACTCCACTCACTCCACGTCCCTCTCGGGTTTGCCTTCAGGATAGAGAGAGGGAAAGAGGTTGCAGAGCGACAGAGAGAGGAGGAGGAAGGCATTGTGTTGGAACCGAGGAGGGTGGTGAGTGGCTTTGTTTTGGTTTGATCAGCTTTCTTTCATGTAGTTTATGGGTTTTTTCTGATCATGGCGATGTAGTTCAGCTGTGGAATTTCTTGGTTCTGGTCTTTGTTGGCGTGAAGGTCGTCTTCATTTATGTCTGTGTATTCTTGTCCGTGCGATACTTTTTGGGCATCATTTGCCGTGGGATGATTATGTTGTATGCTCTGTGTAGTGAAGGAGGATCTATTATTTTTAGTGATTCAAATCTAGGAGGTGTCTAGATAAATTCTTTTATTTAATCTAAATCTTGTGACTGACGTATTTCAATTTTTTTTTATATTTCTAAGTATACAAATATATTTTTTGTATAATTTTTTGAAATTTAAATTTCAGTAAAAGAGTTAAAAAGAAAATTTTAACGAAGAGGTAATTCTGAGCAAACAAGCCTTTACCAATTACCACAGCCATGTAACAATTTTTTTTCCCATGGGGTGCTTAAGTGACGTCACCCGTAAAGGTAAGAAAGACAAGGAAGCAACGATGAACGGACCGCTGCGTTGAGCCTTTTCTTTTAATAGTTTTATTAGGCAGTGGACTGTTGGGGCAAAAGAACTCTAGTCATTTTTACTTTTGGGATTAAATTCTAAACCATCCCTACTATGATATCAACATATTAAAAATTTTTTTTATATCACAAAAAATCCAAAACTCCGCTAATTGTGACACCAATACACTAAATTTTTTTGGTGTCACCAAAACTCTTAAACTATACCAATTGTACCAATACCTTAATTTTTTTTTGTTATACTAGTACAAGTTTGAGTATAGGTGAGACGATAAAAAATTTGGAATATTGATGTTACAGTGGACGGGATCTAGAGTTTTTAAGCCTTTTCTTTTGAGAGAATTATGAGGGAATCGGTTGAATCAATGTACGAACTGTGGTCTTTTTACTTTTTTTTTTAATTGTTCCTTTGCAATTTGATTTTTATTGAATGTGAAGTATCTAAAATGGTTTTCAAATATACAAATATTGACACATACAACGATGTAATTATTTTCCCGATTTTTTAAATTTTGAAATAATATTTGAAACTTTGACGAGAAGGTGGACAAATAACTTTCAATTCAAAAGAGAAAATGCAAGAAATCCAACCTGCCTCTAATTTCTTTGCTCTGAATCGGATGATGAGCAACATAGTAATAATATTATAAGGGGAGATTTTTTTTTTTGCTTTCTTATTACTGGTCGTCCTAAGGAAATATCTGTGGCAGAAAGTGGACCCGTCGGTAAATTGTGGGTTGTGGGGAGGTTCATTAAAGCCAATCAAGTTAAACTCGACTTGTCGCTATAAATCTGCTAAATTTGAGTCTTTGGACACCAGGCCAATTCGCTGAAAGTCACAGGCATAGTCACGCACGGAGAGATGGATGTGAAGTTGTCTATAGATGACCAGGAGATTTGGAAGCAGAGAAGGCAGAGACTGGAAGCACTAAACCGGGCCTTCCCGAGCCAGCAACAGCACGATCCTGCACAACACGACAAGATTATGGATCCTGTGCTGTACTCGGCCGCGAAGAAAGGAGACGTCGACGAGTTCATCAGAGCCCTGGAGGATCATTGCGCCAAGGAAAGAGTGTCGTTGCCCATCCTTCTCAAGCTACATAGCCCCTCCAAGAATACATTGCTTCACGCTGCAGCAGGTATATTAACAAGGTTGTGAGCGTGCATTTTAATGTTCCCAAACTTTCGCGCTCAAATTAACCTGACATCATTGGAATTCAGAGAGCAGCGATGATATTGTCAGAGCGGTCATCGATTTCGTCCCTAAGCACTTGATCTCCTGTCAAAACTCCAGAGGAGAGACGCCGCTTCACATTGCGGCTAGAGCCGGGAAAGCCGGTGCAGTGAAGCTTCTCCTTCCTCGGGGGAACCCAACTTGCACTAACCACAGCGGCAACACCGCTCTGCACGAAGCAGTGAGGAAACACCGTTATGAGGTGATCTGTTGGCTGGTGAGTGAGGACCCCAATACGCTGTATCATCAGAATAAGGAAAGCAAGTCTCCATGGTGCCTAGCAGTCGAAACAGGGGACTTGGAGGTTCTCGAGCTCTTGTTGAGAACGCCAAACGATGGCGAAGACCAGAGTAGATCAGAAAGTCAAAGGGTTTGCGGCATGTCACCCGTTCATGTTGCCATTCTGCACAAGAGAATGGGTAAATCCTACCTCCGCGCTCTCGCTTATTCTTTGAACTTCCTAATCAGTCTATTGTTTTCTTCATTTTGGTTTCACTAGTGGAAAAATCAAGTTTCACAAGCAAAGTTCTAGTAATGAGGCAAATGCACATATGGTAGGATAGCTTAACATCCTAAGGGACAAGATTATGAGTCGACTACCGATGATTTCGATCGTCTAGAACGGGATCAACCCCTGTTGAAGAATTACGGACATCGTGTTCATCCCAAATGATTAACTTCTTGCGTTATATTTAGATATGCTGAAGAAGATGTGGGAAAAGAAGCCGTGGCTATTTCAATTGAGAGATGCGGGAGACGGCACTCCACTCCACTTTGCAGCGTACGACAATTATCTCGATGGAGTCAAGTTCTTGATCAAGAAGTTTCCAACAAGCGCCCTGGAGCAAGACGGGATGGGCTATCTCCCTATCCATGTTGCCTGCATAAGGGATCGAGTCGGGATCGTCAAGGAGCTACTTCAGCAGTGGATAGACCCCGCAGAGTTTGCAGCTAGGCTAGGACAAAACATTCTTCACGTGTCAGCGAGGCACGGAAGCATTGCAACTGTCAAATACATACTGGCGAATCCCAAATTTGGTCACCTCATAAATGCAAGAGATTTTGACGGGAATACACCTCTGCATCTGGCTGCGTTGCACTGCCAACCTTCGGTCCTGTTTCTTGCACGAGACATAAAAGTTGATCTTAAGCTGGTCAATAACAATAACATGACGGCTCTCGACGTGGTAGAGCAGGACAATAAAGTAATTCCTCCTCCCCTTGGGAAGGTACGACCTTTTACACTTTTCTCACGGGTAATCATTTGTTGTACCAATTAGGAACAGAACAAGAACATAAAATAGGGAGGCATGTCATTTAGTTTGCTCTCACCCACATCTATAATTTAGTTGCCAAAATCATAATGTGTTTTTTTTTTTTAATTCTTCAACCCACTTCTTGTAGAGATTTACGTGGATAACTTTGGTATCTGCCGGAACACGAAAAAGTGGAGAATTAGCTATCTGCAAGACAACCGGCCGGCACCCACGGAAACGACCTGAACCGATGGGATTGGAGAGATATAGGGACATAGCAGATTCTTTCGCGGTCGTGCTGGCGCTCGTGGCCTCTGTCACTTTCACTTCTGGTTTTTCCGTTCCCGGAGGATATAATGGTTCTGAAGGAGATGCTGGAATCCCCATATTGCTCCACAAAGCCATGTACAATGTCTTTGTGATTTGCAACTCCATCGCCATGTATAGCTCGATCACGGCGCTCGCAGTGCTCATCTGGTACCGAGTTAATGATCCTTCCGTGGGGCAAACTGTCATTTTCTTGTCAATTCTCCCATTATGGACAACTCTTTTGGCAATGCCTCTAGCATTCATGGCGGGCATCTACGTGACAGTATCCAAACTCACTTGGCTTTCTATTTTTGGCTTGGTCTTGGGATCTGTCGCCCTCCTCACTATCTTCGATATCTTCATGTTGATACATATACCGCTTGGGTCCAGACATCCTCTCATTCGTCCGTTCACCGACACAGTGCTTCTTTTGGGTATTTCAATATCAGGGGGAGACACTGCAGGGAGTGGGACTGCGGGACCTGCAGCTACATCCGTGCCCACAGCTACATCCATCCAGGGCACTCGCGATGATAACCTACACCCCCCACTTGGATAGATCATTTAGCGTTTACGTTCCAGAAAAATGGCGTCTGATCCAGCCTCGAATCTATTAATCTCTTGTTAATTATGTACCGATGTCTGTACCTTTAACTTCTTCTTAGTTACATCAGCTGCTGTTGTTTCAATTTGGCTAGCCTACCTATTTGCGGTCAGAATTTGTGGTGTCTGCAATTTCAGTGATCCAAAGTACTTTGTAATAGCTACCCGATGATATCAATAAATAAGTGCAAAGTTTGGCAGAATGGAGTTTTGTAATTGAATTGCATCATCACGAAGTTCTATTCCCTTTCTCTTTGCTTAACATTGTTTAGACACATACGCTTACATTATTTAGAAAAGAAAGTGAATTGTCTCATTCAATTTAATATAATGTTTTCAGGAGAATATATTAGCATCGGTTTGCCTTATTAATTGGGATGTTAATGATGTATTGGTCAATTAATCTAAACTCACCAAGTAATGATTTTATCTGTTTTGCCCTTTTACATTATTGACATATAATGTTTCTAGTTATAATAAAATAAGGATTAAGAGAATTGCGCAGGGTGACATCTGCTCTCTATTTTTTCAAGCTTTCAATTTACCTATATATTTATTGATGTACACCTATGATATATGATCTCATATACATTATATTATATTATATTTACATATAGGAAAGAGGATTTTGTTCACTAAATAAGGATCCTTAATTAATTTATCCCTATAGCTGTCTTATGGATGCTATTTTCACTTTTAATTTGCTTTGTGAACTGAAAATTGAGAGGTCAAATTAGTGATGAGAACTATTCATTACGTTCTGTGGTCCAGTTAACATGATGATTATTAGTCTACATTACTAAGTATTTTCAGTGAAATTTCTCAAACTGTTTTGAGGAGATATCTTGCATTTTCCTGTATTTGGTTTTTATACTCCTTTTCATTCTGATGCTGATAGTATTTTCCATAACTCGAGGAACATCTGCATTTTTTGTACGTGCTTAGTAGTTTACAACTCCGTGTGTCAAGGTTTTAGCAAAAAAACTCCGTCAGTCAGAGGCCATCATTGAGAGCAGCAAATGTACAATCGGCACAAATTCTTTCTAGCATTTTCATGTTCTCGTGATTTGGTTTTAAGTCCATTACATCATAAAAAACCAATGAAACAAATCAATAAATTCATTACAACATACTATAATGACTTCTATTACTGAATTATATTGATACAGATAACAGACTATTCAGCTCTAACAGAGTAGTTCCTCTATGCCAGTTTAGTAGTTGGAACGTAAAGATAACAAAGATGACACGGTATAAACAGTGACACTAAGGAACCCTTCATTAGCCCCAATCATCTTGCTACTTTCCTTTGAGTTTCAAAATGTGAAAGGGATGAGAGAAATCACATTAAGCAAACCCGATCTGACTATCATTAACTCATATCTGATCATAAATGACTTTGAATCATGAGGACAATAAAGATGAATGACACCTTCATGAACTTCCTTAATAGATAGAACCTTTATCAGGCTTGTGTGAATGATGTCGACGATTATGACACAAGCACATTAATTGATATCATACAAAATTAATACTTGAAATAGAACTTGCTGAATTTGATTCCGTTCTTTCCGCGTGGCCAGACTCGCATACAATACATCAGAGTCAAAGAACATGTAAACCCCCAATCCCAACTAAAAGAAGACTGTTTTGAGAATACCCCAAAATTGTCCCATGGAGTTGAGGGCAATCAGACTCAAGTCAAGACCAGTGCATAATGCCTGCAAGCACCATAACCAGTACCAGCAATTGCTCAAACAATATTTCTTTCGGGTTCACTCAGTAGCGAATGCTTTATCTTCCATACTGCATCTTGAACCTTGGTGGAAATCTAACTGCACGGATCAATCAAACCTGTATGATCGACTATCTGTGAGTCCGCTAGTTTCAGTAATGGTGATTTTATCCATGGACAAGATGAGGTCTAGGCATGCATATCAAGTCACCATAAAGATCACCTGGCGTGTCTGATGTACAGGATATGAACTTACAAGAGAAGAGGGCTTGGGGGGCTTGGGGGGCTTGAGAAGCTTGGGGAGCTTGGGGAAGAAAAGGAAAGTTATGATCCATAAGCTGAAAGTTGAAAAGGGTTTCTCACTTGCGCTGCTTCAGATTAAACCTGCAAAGACGGTGACATCGAAGATCGAATAAGACATAAAGCCTAGAAGTTATAATAAGATCAACGGGCAAATAATGCACTGAGAACAGTCATATATAAGTAATTTATGAGATATAATACATATGCATACAGATACATTTCTCTTGCGGATAAGCAGATTATGTAAGATGTGGGAAAACCAAATTCAACTACTTTTGAAACCTCAGTCACCAAAGTCTAATTTGGAATATCAAATGCACATGTTGTCCAGTAAAATTTCATGACATTCATCAACACTCCAAAGAAACAAGGACAAGATTCTTGCCAACAAACCAACATGTACATCATTTAGAGATTCAGCTCAGGGGCTTAAATTACATGCTACTGCATTGAAACTCGAAATCTAAGAAAAGGAAAAAAGAAAACAAAAACTGCACAAGATCATACCAGTCAATGGCACGTACACTGTACAAATGCAGCGCTCCTAGTGCTCCAAAATTTTTATCTTTTCTTGGCAGTTGTGCATCTGCTGGATCACCTCAGGCGAGAGACGAGACCCCCGCACAAGCTTGTACTGCTCAAATTTCAACTCATCACACTTCAAGGCAGCCTTTTTACAGGCCTTGACACTTCCTGGCACCAATAGAGATCTCACTCAATTAGCTTCCAGGAAAAGAATTCCCTCTTACCACCGTATAATCACACATGCCATGATCAGATGGAAAAGAAATGCCAGCTAATGACCTCACATGAAAGTTTCGCAATAACGGCACTGGAAATTCAGCGCCATTATGCTTTCAAAGTTTAAGATTCGGTTAACGTGGCTCATCCAAAGAAACACAGTTTAATAATCCAGATGCTATTCTTCTCGTGTCAAGGTGTATGGAGACAAGATAATTTTTACAAAGATAGTCGCGAGAGAAAATTTCGCGCATTTGCATAATAGTCTAAGCTCAACCACAGCAAAAGCCAATCATACTAACCTATCCTATGTACCATCACTAGAAGCAGAATACAGCACAAATTCTACGATTCGACTCGACAAGCAAAGGACGAGTCTTGCGGCATTCAACATCCCGCTCGGCACTTAGTATGACTCACCGCTCAAGTCGAGTAAATTGAACAGCACCGGGCAATTTCCAACGCTTGTGACCAAGGTGATTGCGGCCCAAACCTTCTGGTGCTCCTCCCTAGAAGCTCTGACAATGCAAAGCTTCGTGATGGGATTCACATACTTGACTGCACGAACAATCACATGGTTGACAACGACCGAATCACGGAACTTGGTAGCAAAATAACAAAGAAATTAACCTCCAAACAACACCTACTAAGTACCTTGAAAGGATCCGAGAGACGACGCGAGACCGCACTCCCCGAAGTTGACGAGGATGCTGTCCCTTATCGCTTTGGACACGTTGAATTGAGTGAGTATGATGGGGTCATCGACCCCGAGCTCCCGATTCGGATCCAAGAAGACCTCCATCACCATGTACCGGTTCTTGAATCCCACCATGATCTCAGCCCAGCTGTTTCAGAACCCTAGCAACGCAGAATAGATGAACACAGGTAAAAAGGTACGAACTTGCTCGGAAGGATCGAGGCGATACACATCGGAGACGAAAGGGGGTAGCGTACGGTTTTAGCTTCAGGCGTTCCACGATTCTACATCGGTTCCCGGGCGGGCCGGTTCCCAACCTAGAACCGGGAACCGGCGGCCGTGATCTCCAGACTACCGATCAGAGTCGCAGAATGCACAGATCACGGCTTACCAATTCCTATGAACAAAAGCCAAAAGAACCGCTTCGCCGCCGCTCGACACGCAAAGGTACACCTTCCTTACCTCTTTCTGCCTGCGATCAAACCCGCGAAACCTCAAAGCTCAGACTTGTCCAGATCTCACGGCACCACAATCAGCCTCACCAAGAAATTTAGGGGCTCCCTTGCGTGACGACGGCGACGGCGGCGAGCGCGAGAGAGGGAAGACCGAGCGGCGAGCGGGAAGACTGAGCGCGCGGCCAGCGGCGATAGCTACAGAGATAAAAAGGGCGTCGCGAGCTGAGCACGTGAAATCGGGAACCGGCCGGTTCGGTCTAGTCCGTCCGGTTTTCGGGCTAGACCGGGTCCATGCTCACCCTGGTTCTATGGGCCACTGGGCCTCTACAAAAAAGCCCAATTAGGTGAAGCGATTTTGGGCCTGAGCTTTCCGGGGCTCTCGAGGGCCCACCGACCATCGCGGCGCCGTTCAACAGGCCCAGTTGACCGGGCGCGCTTTCCTCTCCGTCCGCGACGCGGAGGGGCGACACGTGGCGGGCGAGGAAAGGGGGGGAGACCGTTCAAAAAGTCCACCCTAGACTCTCCCCCCTTCATTTTCTCCCAATCAGGAAGCAAGACAAAAAAAAAAAAAGAAAAAAAAAAGGGAAACCCAAAAAAAAAAGAAGCAAAAACGTTTGGAATTAAAGTTTAGAGAGAGTGGGAGAGACGTTAGACACGTGACAGTGAACGCTGGTTAATGTTTCCGCTTTATAATATCATCCACTTTCTTTTTCCTTTTTTTCCCTTTTTCTTCATTTTCTTTATTATGATTATTATTCCCCCTGAAGGGACGGTACCCGATCTGACAAATTTACCCCTTCATTTCGCACGAATTTCGCCCGCATTTCATCTCTATCTACTTCTCTCCTGCTCGTTGGTTATGTCCCTCCCTCTCCCTCGCGCACTTCTTCGTCAACGTCACGAGAAGAACGAGAGAGAGGGACGAGGCCCCCCCACCTCCCGCTGGGGCCCCTTCCTCTTCCTCTATAAATACTCCGCTCACTCCCCCGTTCCCTCTTTGCTTTGCTTTCAGGATAGAGAGAGAAAGAGGTTAGAGAGAGAGAGAGAGAGAGAGTGTCTGTGTGTGGAGGGAGGGGGCAGAGGGAAGGCGCTGTTGTTCTGTTGGGTTCCGAGGGGAGGGCCGGAGGCGTTTCCGTGGCTTCACGAGCTGGTGAGTGTGCTTTTACGTTCAGCTTTTGTCCGTGCGATTCGTGGGTCTTTCGTCTTTTCTCTGGTCATGGTGGTGTGGCGTGGGGTGTGGTGTGGTTCGGCTGTAGAGTTTTGTTGGGGTCCTGGTCTTGTTGACCCGGAAGAGGGTCTTCGTTTTCGTCGTGTGTGTTGTCCGTGGGATGCTTTTTTGGGCATGGTGTGCCGTGGGGTGATTAGGTTTCTGCCAGTTGCGTGCTCGTGTGGCGTAGATCTGGTGGAGAGATCTTAGCTGGTGTTCCTAATTATGGGTTGGCGATAGAGGAGGGGTTAGTGAAATGCTTCGTATGAGACAGGGTCTGCGAGAATTAGCCGTTTTGAGTTGGGAGCTGCGATTGTGTTTCGAGGAGAAACTGACCCACCTCCTTCTTTATTACTCCCTCCGAGTCTCTATGGCGAAATTAAGATCTTGGCTATATGTTGTGTGTTCAGCTTACAGGGACTCTCTCTCTCTCTCTCTCTCTCTCCCTCTCTCAATGGTCTCCAGTATAAATATAGAGAGCAGGTGGGACCTGTATTTGCCTTTTTTGGCCTTTGAATAGTTCTGTTTTCTCCAGCTATTGCTTATAATCTGCGGTCCTTTGAGCTTGCCCTGCTCATTCTCCCCACCCTCTCTGTCTCTTTTCCATTACCCTCCATTATTGCCCATATTGTGTTTTGAAAAGATGAACAAAGCACCGAGATGCCTTGCGGTTGTGGAAGGCGATGATGATGCGAGTGGTGAAAGATAAAATGATAATAAACTTGAAGAATTTGACAGCTTTCCTACACCGTTTACCCTTTCGTGGAAAGTTTGATCATTTTTTTCATTATTTGTTGGGCTCTGCAGAACATTCCCGGGGGAAGGTGTTAGCGTTTGGGATATAGTCTTGGAGTTAACGAGTTTCTAGTCGAAGGAAAGCAATGGAGGTATGTGGCAAATCCATCGTAGCAGGGGCTGGGAATATTATTTATCTGTCAACTATTTTAGGCCGAGATGGGCCTATTCCAGTCCACAAATGCGATCGGAAATGCCAAAACGAACATGTGTGTGGAAACATGTACCTTTGTAAACTGACAGGACTGACACACATCTGTGACAAGAATTGTAACCAGAGGATTTTGTATGATAACCATAGTTCACTTTGCCTAGCAAGCGGCAAGATTTTCCCTCTTACACCAACTGAGGAACAGGCTGTGAGAGGCGTCCGTAGGAAGCTTGATGCTGAAAGTTCTTCCTCCGAAAGCTGTGCTTTTAAGCGCAGGCGTGATGCACAGTTTCATCCTTCTCCATTTGAGAGATCCTTCTCTGCTGTCAGTCCTATCTGCAGCCAAGTTGGAGACGGGATGGACATGAGCTAGATTATCAATAATTGTCTTTATGCTATGTTGCTTCTGCAACATTTTCTCCTTTCCTTGAACTTATGTCGAAGAACTTAATGCGGATACTCAAAAATGGCAGGCTTGATATGTCCTGCCTTTTGTAGGAGCACCTTATTTCTACTGTTGTTTAATGCAAACTTGGCTAACTATTTCTAGATAAATTTTCTTTCTCTAGTCCGGCGTTGATGCCAATATTGTAGTTGAACTCTGTCACTCATTGTATAACAGTTTCTGAGCTGTAACTATCCCGTGGTGCTTCTGGTCAATGCGCTGGTCGTTGCACCATTATTTTCCTTGACTCCCTCTTTTTCTGTTCTTGATGGCGTTTCCCTTTCTTTTCCAGATTGAGTGGGAACAGGGAGGAAGGTTATGTGTAATGTCAAAGGTGTAGAAGAGATTATTAACCGATAGCTCTTAGCTCTTCTTTTAATTTAATCTGTTGTTTTTCCAGATATGTGATGGTTATAATCCATTGGTTTGTCAAATTTGACCACCGTTGACCAATGCAGGGCTGCTTTTCCAAGTTCCCAGATCAAGGGCAATATAGAATTGTATGGTTGAAACTTGGCTTCATTTCTTAATGCATATTTTGTGTACTTATGAGTGTGGAGAGAGAGAGAGAGAGTGAGCGAGCGATAATTTATCTCTTAAGTCGTTTCCTTTTTGTTGCATTTCATGTTTATCCTTGGCTGTTTTTTCTTGGGTGTTGATGTTCTACATGGTAATTTTGCAGGGTTGAAGCATGTGCACTTTCAGGAGAGTTTTAACTTATCTGCTGAATATTGATGAATGACCTATTTTCCTCTAAATTTTCTGAAGTTTAAAGATCTGGAGCTTTTAGTTTATTTGTGTTCATTTTTCGTATGTAGGTAATTGATTCTCCAGCGGCAGTCGTCCAGAGTTATCACTCAGGAAGAAGACGAGAACAGTGCAGATCGTGGTGTCCTGATATGCAAATCCCAGGCGGACTTAATGGAGATGAACGGAAATGTGCATTATCGTTCTCCATGTGGCTTCAAAAGCTTGGAATCATGTGTAGCAACTGAGAAATGCTGGGATTTGTTCTGGAGTTTGTCTTCTTCAGCACAAAGAATTCCAAATGTTTGAAAAGGGAAAACTTCATGGTTCCTACTTGGCTCCTTTTGGACATCTTTGTTTGCGTCGCAAACATTCTCTATGGTGGACTATTGACAGTTTGGTTAAGGTCGGTGCCCCATCTTTGGGAAGCCAGAGAAGTGGACGTCCCAAAAAGGCCAGCGGAGAGTTAGGTTACTTTCTAACGGCAACGCTACTGGAACCCATCTGTCTGTATATACACATGAAGAGATACTTTTGCCTTCATTTGAGTTTGAGAGTCACTGAATCTTTGCGGGTTCCTTGCTCTGCTGACTTGTAGTTAATTTGCAACAGTTTGGTTTGTACTGGGATATTGCTTAACCAAGCTTCTGCTGATCCTGGAAAATGAGATGTGAAAGTCAACCTAGTGCAGTTTGTCCTGTGTTTTCCCCCCTTAGCAAAATCTTGCCTCACTTCTCTGTTCAATCTGTATTTGTTCTTAAAACTATCTGCTCTATGTATACAGGCCTAAGATGGGATTGCTTTCTCCATTTTTTCTATCTTTTCGATTTGTGCAATACAAAGAGAGGCTGTTATTATTGTTCATTCTCTGTCTTGTCTCTGGTCTTTCTTCACGGTTGCTTGTTGAATTATGGAGTGACAGGCCCAAGATGGGATTGCTTTCTGCAGTTTTTTAAGCCTTTCAATATATGCAATACAAATAGAGGCTGGTATTATCGATATTTCTTTGTCTTGTCACTGTTCTTTCTTCATGTTTGTTTGTCGAATTATGAAGTGACTATGCATGTGCAACGTACCCACTGTCATTATTTCTCTGTCTTTTCTCTGATTTTTCTTCATGGTTGCTTGTTGAATTATGAAGTGACTATGCATGTGCAACGTACCCACTGGTGCCCCGTTGGCATGAAAGACTTGGTCAGTATTTTCAATGCCCAGGCATTCTTGTTTTGAAAGATGGTTGGGAAGATGGTTGAAACAGGCGCATTGTTGTGGTGGTGAGCGTTTTAATCATTAGGAATGAACAATTGTTTTTCTACTGTCATGCCTGGTCTTTGACGGAAAAAGAGTCGCTGTATATTTGCAGCTAGGCCCAGATAGAAGTATATCTTTTTCTGCTAATTAAACGGTTATTAGTTGAACAGCCCTGTGAGATGGGACTTTGTGATCCCAGAATTTTACTGGGAACTTCTGTTTTACTGCAACCATCGTATGGTATCTGTTTAAACAATTTCTGGGTTTGCAACAGAACATTCAGTGCCATTTGTAGTGTTCTAACATTCTGCCAATCTGATTGAGTGGTTAATGCTCTTTCGAGCGATGGATGGTAGATTGAAGTGGAGGACTACTAAAACGGATAGGTAGCTTTCGCTAAAGAAAACATTTACAAACTCAATCTTGAGATCCAAGCAGACAAACTTTTGTTCAGCTCAAATGTATCTTCGTGAAGGCAAAATTCACTTTAGTATAGAACAATGTTCTCTGCTGAGAAAGAAGATGGAATCGCCCTTTTTTGAATGAAATCTTACTTACAGTAGCATCTAATCAAAGCCATCTGATTCGCTACAAAGGGATTCGAAGGTGATTCCAAAGGATGGAGAGAACGTTTCATGACACATCCCAATCCTATGCAAAAGCCAAAGAAAGGAATTGCTTCTTCATGAGGCCTATCAGGCTAAAAGGAAATGCTAAACCCAGAAGGGTCATATTGCGGCTGAGAAATTCATTGAAGCAACGTAACACTATCTACACAATTTTCCTCATACTTCCAAGAATCTTAGAAACTGCCATATGTAGGGGCTTACTACAGCCTCATCAACCTATCTGTCCAACCCACCCTTTCTAGAAAATCTCTGTAAAGTAAAGAACTTAGCAAGTACAATGCAAACGAAGTCATCCGACCTCTTGAAAGGTCTCTTCCTCGTCTTCTTCGGTTTCTTCTTTTCTTGCTCCAACTCTTGCACGTTCACCGTAACAAACAACTGCCCCCATACCATATGGCCCGGGACACTCGCAGGAGCCGGGACACCGCAACTTCCGACAACTGGGTTCAGGCTAGACTCTGGCCAGAGCATCCAGATCCCATCCGTTCCAGGATGGTCCGGGAGGATATGGGCAAGGACTGGTTGTACATTCGACGAGTCGGGTGCAGGGACATGCCAAACCGGAGATTGCGCGGGAAGATTGCAGTGCGGCGGTAGTGCCGCAGCCCCTCCAGCTTCGCTATTCGAGATCACCCTCGGTTTAGGCAATGACAAAGACTTCTATGATGTAAGCATAGTCGACGGCTATAATTTGCCCCTTGTTGCGGTGCCACAAGGAGTATATGGCTCCTGTAATGCCACTGGTTGCGTTTCAGATATAAACATGGGTAAGCTAATCTATGATGGTGCGTTTCATTTGGCTAGAACTAAGAGTTTTTGTTCTTAAAGTTTGGCTAGCTCCCGCGAATAAGAACGAAGGATAAGACCTCTAGTTGCTTTGCTCTGGATTGAGCGAGTTGGGAAAAACGAAAATCTGATTTGGCATTATTAACAGGTTGTCCGAAGGAGCTTCAAGTAGTCGGTGGCGAGGGAGGAGACGGAGGAGTTGTCGCATGCAAGAGCGCATGCGGGGCATTTGGGCTAGATGAGTATTGCTGCAGCGGGGAATTTGCTAACCCGACGACCTGTCGCCCCTCGTTCTATTCCACCATCTTCAAGAGAGCTTGCCCGAGGGCTTATAGCTACGCTTTTGATGACGGCACAAGTACCTTCACCTGCAAGGCTTATACCTATGCGATCATTTTCTGCCCCAACTCCAATGGGTATGGTTCTCTGTAAAAACTTGTTCACTCATTCGCAATTTTGCTTTCGAAGTCTTTACTCAAGTTCTGCCTCACAACAGATCCTCGACGTGGACGCTGCAGGGCAAAGAGACCTGATAGCGCATCGACACCCCCTGCAGTAAAAAGCACTAAAAGAAAAGTAGCAAGACCGTGGCGATGACTTCCAGCTCTAGTGTCCTCCTGCCATTTGCAATATCGATTTTCTTCCCAATCCTCGTTCTACTTTATTTGAATCTACCTGATCAGAGTATAGTCTAGACGATCATAGCATACCTGCTGAGAACTTTTATAGTGCCTGAGCAAATACGATACCCGAGTACACCGAAGACTAGGAAGAGAGGTAATAAAGAACCATTTCGAGATGAAAATTGGGATTGCAGAAGGAAGTGTTCACTGCAGGGACCAGTATAGTCTATTCTATAGGCAGAAAAGAAGAAAAGAAGGATCGCCATAGTCCATTATTTATAAAGCATATTGCCCTAAGCCCTCGTGCTAGTTCTTCATTATTACAGCTTCCAATTAGAACACAGAAGTTTAGACAAGCTATGTAAAGCTTCTTGTGGAGTATTTGGCATGTATATTGCAAAAACAAGTTCCTCTTACCATTCTGAATTTGTCATCCAGTTGAAATCCACCGGACTTGTCCCAGTTAAGTATATGGAAATAAGAAATTTATATTTAGAAAAGAATCAAAGAAACTACAACATTTCTGGTATAAAGGCTCTCGCTGTTCTGCAACGCGGCCTGTTTTACATGATTCAATGCCTCTTACTTTCTGTCACTCTGATTAACTACGTGTCCAAGATTTTCAGCTGTTAACTAATCTATCAAGGAAAAAATGTATCAACTCTATGCGGGTTTCATTTCTTGGCCGTGGCTTTCTTGGAAACTTGACTCTTCTTCCGAACTTTCTTGGCAGGCTGTGGCTTGCTCCCCATAGTTTTACCCTTCTTCCGAGGCAATCCCTATAACCAGACTTCTGATTAGAAACACAGACAATAACAAATCTGTAAAGATAATTCAGTTTGAATGCAGAAAATTCATACCGATGCTTTCTCAGACTTCCTTTTGGTCTTCTTAACGGTCTCTCCTTCTCCGACATCGTTTTGATCAATTTGATGGGCAGTGGCTTTTGATATCTTATCAGGCTCCTCATCCGAATCAAATGAGAAACCATCAAGTGTTCCTATTCAAGTTACAGACTACATGTTGATCAGACGTTAAGTGAACATCACACAGAGAACATAGCATTTTGCAGTGTCACATGGAGAAACCTGACCTTCAACCATAGTTTCAGCTTCGCTGATGTTGGACTGTGCACTCAGCTGAACAAAGTCATTCATAATTGCTTCTATCTGTTGAAAAAGCAGGGTCTAAGGTATATCTTGTGTTGCACGGTAAGCCATCATGCAACATCTATAACATAGTATACATGACAAGAAGCATGTACTATGAGTGAGACAGAAGAAGTTTCTACCAGAAAAAGAGATTTCGTGATGCAAAGAACCTGATTGTTAAGGGGAAAAATAAACAAGAAACAAAACTTGAGGAAATTCGAAATGTTAGACAAACCAAACGAAGACCAACCATACCTTAGCCTCTGACTGACCAAAGCTAACCTAAAAGAAGAAGGAAACATAAAAAAACGTCACATCATAGCAACAAAAAGGATTTCAAGAATACACAATCTACTCATGAATGTGAACAGCTTTCACATTAGCGTGCCATGTGTGTGTGTGTGATTGGAGAGAGAGAGAGAGAGAGAGAGAGAGAGAGAGAGAGAGAGAGAGAGAGAGAGAGAGAGAGAGAGATTTTAAGACTTACAACACAAAATGTCCTGCAAGGAACTATGTTTGTTTTGTATATGGTTCCTGACATAAACCCATCATCTCTAAGTTAAAATATACCATTAAGATGCTCAAGATACACAATTGTGGTACAGAACCACTCAAGAAAATGGACAAAAACCCAAGACAGACATGAATGCAACGAGACAGAATGCTTGACCAGGAAACCAGCAGAAGAATATATTTACAATTACTGGGGGAATGCAACTATTCAGAGTATAGCTACCTTAGCACACAACTGAGTCAGTAACTGCGAAAACTTCTCATGACAAGTCAAAATAATGTAAGATTGCAAGGGAGGCCCAGCAACTCTACAGATGCACCAGATGGGTCATTCAGTTATCTAGAAACAGCAGAACAAGGGTCAAGGTGTCGGTATGTACCTTTCAAATCTAAGAACATGTCGTGATTTCCAGATGGAGTATCTGAAATTACTACTCGACCCACGGAGCCCATATCACCACTCAAATCTATGGAATCCCCTTCACATTCAACAAGCGCCTGCACCAGCCAAAAAAGTTTTTTCTCAGTTTAATTTGTTCTATTACCTGTACTCTGTATCCTAATTCAATAAAACAATTCCAAGTGAGGTCAGAGGAAAGAATGGGACCTTAGGTAATTCTTGGCCAAAAATGAAGGCAGAGGACACACTACACACATCACTGTGCTAAACTATGCACAAGATTTGAGAAGTAGGAGGTGACTTGAACGCATAAGTTTGTTGTTTTTACTTATCAAAGAGCAAGAAACTAAACCAAAGAAAAGAAAAAAAGGGCCAGAAGTGGGCAGACTACTGTTCTCATCCCATCCCTCCATGAAAAAACTCTGCACTGTAGTTTTCTAACAAATCCAAAATGAGAGATGTTCTTGGAGTAATTTTACACTGCTCTGCATTGTTTTGGTCCAGGACTACCGTACAATATATATTCCCAGATTGAAAGACGAGAAAAAGTTGATAAACATAAAATTTTGTCCTCCACCTTGCAACGTTGAACCTTCTCTGAAAGCACCAAAGGCAATCTTGAAGAGGCCACCTGAAAAAAATAACTAGCAAGTCAATGAATTGATCCAAGACTAGACAGAAAATCAACTTAAGTGTTAGGAAGCCTTCTCACATGCAGTTCTCTATGCTTCTCAGATGTTTCTTCCTCTGCAACTTCAACATCTCTTCCATCCCCTGCACAAATTTTAAATTTGTATATATTGTCCAACCCGTATACATGCAAGTGTAGAATAGAAAGAGAATAGATTCATAATGCTACCTAAGGCTTTTCATAGCTCCCTTCTACGTTTATACTTTTTTATTTTATATGTTACCTGTTTTATTCTCCGTATCTGGTGGATCCTCCAACTTCAGCTGTTTTCTCAAACCTTTTCCTTTTAAAGCCTTTCTTGATGGAGACTTTTTATTAGCATCAATAAGAGATGCATCTTTTCCCTGTTCTTCCTCTAGGAAATTAGATGCTTTTATCTCAGGAAGTTCTTCATGATTTGCAATGCCTTCTTTTCTAACGTGATTGGCAGGAGATGACTCTGAATCTGATGACAATGTCCAAATTGAATGATTTGGGGCCTACTCAACCAAAAGACGAGCTTATAAGCAACACAAAATTGGTTCAAACAAGAATCTGCTAGAAAAGACTAACTCACTTCATCCAAAGAATAGAGCCATAAACATGATTACGCCAAGTAAACATGATTCTGCCTAGGACTTTACTTCCGTCAACTTCCTTAACACCCCCGCAATTACTGGTAGTGTACTTACCCCCGCAATTGCTGGTAGTGTACTTACCATGCCGGCATAAGTTTTACTTACATTGTTATTTATTATGAGCATAGTGAGTTGGATATAAATTTTCTAATTTCCCTTTATAGAGAATATTGCAGTTATGTACAATTTTTTCAATAAAAAATTCCATCCAATGAGTTCCATCTCTCATGTGCTACATCAAACGCCGCAGAACTCATAAATACCTTCAGTGCGTTCCTGGAAGAGAAGTTTCTGTATTATTAGTTGTCAAAGATACTATTCTCAACACTCCAAGCTCTACTATTTCTAATTTAACGTGAAAAATTTCAGCTGAAAAAGATGTCCTCATCTCCTATCAATCCCTTTTAATTGATACTAAGATCAGGGCGAGTATCACTGAAGATTTCTATGTGAAAGCTTCTTACCTGCTTTTTAGCTGATACTTCATCCCTAACCTTCCCAAGTCTCTGATCTCCTGTATTGCAAAAAAAAAAAGTCGCCAGGCATAAAAATTGTATACAAGTACCGTTAATAAAATTTAGATTTCTTTGTAACTGACAAATTAATGGCTTGCTATCCATAGTTCGAATAATTTCCATAGCAAGCCTTTGAATAATCATGTCTTGCTCTCCGCATTACCTTCACTTTTCTTTCGATAATATGATTTCTTAGTTTTCGAGAATCCTGGATCATCTACTCCAAGTCTTTGTTTAGGAGACTCCTCTTTTAGAATCTTCTCAGCCGAATGTGCACCAATCTCTTTAACTGCTAAATCTCGAGATTTGCTCTTACTTGAGACTTCAATGAACTTACGTAAAGGCAGTTTATCAGTATCAACATTATCCTCCTTTTTAGGACTGTCATTTTGAGAATAATCAGAATCAGAGGACAGTGTTAAAGTTGAATTTGTAGGCGCCTGTGAAGCAAAGAACATCCTAATTATAAGCATAAAGTTCAGACAGGAGCAGAAATAAGTATAATAATGCCATTGCGAAAGTTACATGTACAAAAAAGAGTCTAATAATGCCATCTTGCCACACCAAAATGGTAAGAGTCAAATTGAGGAAATCCCTCAAAACACTATAACACTTTGGTCAGCATATATGAAACAAAGTTACAGCTGTGATGTTTTAAGGTGACAGAAGATTGCCAATGCACAAATTACTTTGATTTAAAGGTAAAGGACAAGTGATTCCATAACACTCTTAATCTCTTAACTAGCATAAGGTGAATACAACATTTAACCAACATGAAAATTTAAACTAATATGACAGAGAACCATTAAATTCTTATGAAAATAATATTGGATTCATTCCTACAAGGCACCTTGAAAGCACGGAGCCAGTCGGGTGAATCCTCCCTTGAGCTGCTCATCTGGACATCGAGCTCCTGGAAACCGATGCTAGGCTCTCTAACCGAACAATCAACCTAATTCAACACTTTATGCAAAGAAATCTCATTCCCCTCCTATGAAAATTACAATACAGCCAAAGCAGACTTATCAATCCTGAAAATGACCAGCACACTCGGGCACGCACACACAACAAACACACATGTCTACATTCACATTATAAATACAGGTCATGTTGAAAAGACCTGGCGACTCTCAAACACATATAAACAAACGGGTGATGCAATAGATGAGCCGACACACTTCTGCATCGAAGTTCAATCTAAGGAGAGGGGGAAATCTTTGAAACATCAAACTAAAATGGCCAACATTATCTAATTCCAAAAAGATCGAAGAGGCTAAGTCACATGAATCCAGCCTATACTTATTGAAAACGCGACGAGCATCCCCTACTTCTCAAAAAGTATGCACACATGGAAAACCATAATTTTAAAAATGCACCCGTACTGTCATGAATATGGATGCACAAACTCTAAAGCAACAGATGCCCCCCCGATCCAGGCCTCAGAAAATCAAAGGACCGCTGCGCAATTTCGCCAAATCTCGGGACGGCGCTCGCGCCATTGGCCCGTTTCAAGTCGACAATCAACCGATTCAATCCCATAAAAATCAGCTCGAAACTAGCTAGCAGAGAACGAGAAGGCGTGCCCCGAAGCTCTTAATCAAGTTCCTACGGAAGAACGAGCTCGACTTGCGAGAAACGACATTCAAAAAAGCCCTAAGCGAAAATCCCCATTGCACCGGCTGGAATTTCCCACCTACCGGAGAGCAATTCGAGGGAGCCCGAGGGAGCAGAGGCGGAGCGAGTACGACGAGGACGATATGGAGCCGAAGCGTTCGGCGGAGAGAGAGGAGCGAGCGGCGGCGGCGGGGTCGAACGGATGCGGCGAGAGCGGGAGATTCCGGCGAGAGAGGGAGAGGGAGAAGGCGGGAGTTCGGGAGGAGGAGGAGATGGGAATCGGGTTTTTGGGTTTGGGCTTGTTTGGTTGTGGGAACTACTACGTCCTGGTTTTACTCCGGTTTATAGTCATCTCCACCAAACCAAAAGACGCTCCTAAAGAAAGAAGAGAGAAAATAGAGAAAGCACCCGAGACCACGTTGGCCCAATTAAGAGGATCACCCATCGGTTCCGGGGTGGATTGATTCCTATTCGTAAATTGGGAATCAACTCACCCGATCCTGGAATCATACCGAACTAGATCCAAGTCGATCTTTTTTTTTTCTTCTATTCTATACGGGTGAGACTTTCCCAACATTAAAAAAAAAAAATTTATTAATTAGGATTTGCTTCAAAATAAAAAAATTAAGAAACTTTAGCCTGTCGATCGGTCTAATCTGGTTTGTCCAATTCTTTATGTGGAATTGAGAATCAGATTTGTCATTCCCGCTTCCCAATTTTTGGAATTGGGAAACGGATCGGTCCTCTCGAGAATCGCCCAAAACCGGGTGGTTAGATCCGATCCTATTTTCGATTGGACTGGAACCGATGCACAACCCTACGCCCAATGACCTATTTATTTGTGCTTTCTGAAAAGCTAAACAATAAATTTCTTGGATTCTGTTAAAAATCGAAATACTAAATTTTAGAAAATCGTAAGAAAAAGTTATATGTGTCTACGATAGGAAAGTTTCAAATGTTTTCGTTGATAAAAAGGTCAAAATGTTCTTTGCGGAAAAATTTAGAGAAAGCAAAATATCATAAATAAAAATTTTATTCGGACATGCACTTTTAGAGATAGATGTAAGTACAAGCATTGTTAAATTTAGCCAATAGACGCGACAAATGGTGCCTCCACGCCACTTGTAAAAGCCGAAGCAAAGTTGTTTGTCCTGTAGATACTTACAAAATTAAGAGCGTAAAGGTTTATGCCAATTAAAAAATATTTAAAAATTAATTAATAAAATTGAAAAGTTCATGGTTGGATCGATAAAAATGGAATCCATCGAGGTGTTTTTGGACAATTTTATCTATGGTCGGCAGATGGAGCGGAAATTACAAAAATGCACCGAGCTTCTTCTTGTTGCTGCCTAAGCCCATCCACTATTCCACACCTCCCCGCTAAAACCCCTGCAACAACCTCCTCCTCCTCCTCCTCCGCCGTCCTCCGCCAACACCCGACGCCAGAAAACCACCGTCCTCCGCCGCCGAAGACTTCGAGGAGAAATGGAGCAGGGCAAGCACGGGGTCGTCGTCTCCAAGCTCCTGCCCCCTAACAACCCCATCGAGCAGCTCCAGTCTCGCTTCAAGGAGATCGAGGCCGGCTTCAAGGACTGGCTCTCCAAGCAGTCCCTCCCCGTCGAGGCCGCCGTCGTCACCGCCACCGGCTCCGCCCAGGGCGCCGCCATCGGCGCCATCATGGGCACCCTCACCAACGACGTCTCCGCCTCCCTCGGCCCTCCCCCGGGCGCCAACCTCAACCCCCAAGCCATGGCCTCGCTCAAGCAGGCTCAGGTCGGTTAGGTTTTCGATTTTCCTCCCGATTTCTCGTCCGTTCTCTGATTAGGTCAGGTCAAGTCCTTGAGCCATGTTTTGGTATTGATGTTGTGGCTCGGGGAAGTCTGATTTGGAGCTTGTAGTGTGATTGAATTTTGGAATTCTGCTTAAGAACCTCATGTTTGTAACATTGATGGTATAATGAGTTCTGGGGCGATTGATAACACTGGTGAGAAAATGAGCGGTGATACTTGCTATATGTCATGCTGGAATGCTGGAGAAAGTGCGGTCTATAGCGAACTAAGTTACAAAATCGAAGAATGGTAATGCGATTTTCGCCCTGTATCGAATGTTGACTTCTGTAAGTTTTGTTATCAGCTTCAATGTCGCCGGTACATGTAGTGTCCATTGAGTTGGTTGAACTCTTGAGTTGCTCTTTTTGGTCTGAAAGAGCGAGCATTGAGGTACTTTAGATATTGGAAATCTATGGAGTGAGTTGTTGAAGTACTTTAGATGTCAATGTCGACTGCTGTGAAATAGAGCATTGCTCTATTTTGTCCTGAAGGACAGAGAACAGTGGAACGTAACAAATGGGTTTTCTTTTCTACAGGCTCTATCCGGGGGTCCCTTGATACAAGCTCGCAATTTTGCTGTCATGACGGGTGTCAATGCTGGCATTTCCTGTGTCATGAAGAGGTTGAGGGGGAAGGAAGATGTCCAGTCCAGGTGATTTTTGTTAATAATTTGCCTCCTCTCCTATCATTTCCGATTCACGATACAATAAAAAATTATAAAATTAATTGCCAAAAGACAATTGGGGAACCTAGAGTGGTGAATTATATACGGCGGAGACACTGATTTGGCTTGCAAGCCTATTTGATGAAGTATTACTAAGCTCGACCTTGATTCATTTGATAATTAAGCTTCTTGAACTCGTGAACAATCAAGTCAAGCTCAAGTAGTGAGGATATGGAAGTTGAATACGAGCGGCTCAGCAATTCTGCACTTACATAATGGATATTTTTTTAATACATTTGCAAACATTGTATCTTCTTATAGCAAGACAGGAAAATTGTGATGAGTACATTTAATTCCACTCTTTTATGTTGTAATTTGAGCTGTTCAAACTCTACTTAGGTTGAATTAATGGTGTTTAATAGTAATGGGAGTCAAAATCATGATAGTATCAAATTGGTGACTAACTAAAGAATCTATACATGCTGTAGGAAAAATCAATAACTTCAGTGGGGTCAATTGCCCCCTTCTCACACATACAGGCACAGTCCTTGTCTCCAAGCTAGTTAGTTCGAATGTGTAATAGTGGATTCTTTGTCCAGATACTTAGTTACTTAAAAAATTCTCCTCTATAAATTTAGTGAAGTATAGAGTATTTGAAGAGTGCAGCTGCAACTTAAGGTGCTTTTTGGTTCTGTTTAGATGATTTGTGCTTATCATAGGACTTGATGAAGTAACCCCTAAAAGCTGGTTTCATGTTGCCTTAAGACATTCGAAAGTATTATTCAGGATCACAGCTTTTGTCTTACTTTGGACATTATTGACCATAGATAGCTGGATTTCGTGTGTTTGTGATTTTCTCTTTGCTCTTACTCTAACTATTATATTGTCACTGCAGTATGGTAGCAGCTTTTGGTTCTGGAGCCATGTTCACTTTGGTCAGTGGCATGGGTGGCCCAAATCAGGCGGCAAATGCAGTTACTTCGGGGCTTTTCTTTGCACTTGTTCAGGGTGGACTTTTCAAGGTGAAGATCCAATACTTAGAACCTGCAATTCTGAATAGTATAGCAGCAATCGCTGCTCTATGTATGGTTTATGACAATTCATTGCAGCTTTTCAAGATGAATGTCGGTCAATATGGATATCCTGAGGGTTTCCCTTTGTATGGATACATCAGCTCATGTATTATTTGGAAATAGCCTCATGGGATTTTGAGTTTGGCCCTTTGATGATGATTAATGAGTCATTTTGACGGATCTAATAACATTTAGAGGTGCGAGTTAAACAGACCAAATTTTTGTGGCTTGTGCAGCTAGGGCAGAAATTCTCTCAGCCTCCTGTGGAAGATGTCTACTACTCTCGAACAAGAAGCATGTTGACGAACCTTGGCCTTCAGAATTATGAGAAAAACTTTAAGAAAGGCCTTCTAACAGATACGACATTGCCTCTACTCACTGATAGGCAAGTTGTTTCTTGTTTACTCTCATCTCTTTTGCTGCATACAATTCAGGATCATATTGTGATGCATATCTGTGTTGAATGCTTTTATTTTGATGTTGGCTGTATTTGGCATTTTATCCATCTTTCTTGTGTATTGCAGTGCTCTAAGAGATGTGAACATTCCTCCAGGACCAAGGCTTCTCATTCTCGATCACATTCAGAGGTCTGAATCAACATAAATGCATAGTATGACTGACTATATTATCCATCAACCAATTGATTTGGATGTATTTTGTGGTACAGAGATCCTCAGCTGAAAGGTGCAAGGAAGCTGTAGATCACATTTGCCACCACACTGGTTGGCATTTGAAAGATTCTAAAGTAAGAGTGACTTAATTCATTTTTATTTTGCACCATCTACTTTCTTCAGGGGTGTCGTATAATCAAGTCGTGGTTGAGGGCTATGAACTTTGATGGTGGTACCTTTAGTGGGGAAGGAACCTTCATATGGGTGATTTGAACGGGGTCTAGGACTTCTCGGATACTTTTCCCTCTTTCTTTTTTTGATATTTTAGTTAGACAGTTCTTCAGCGAGAGCATAAACTAGGTGAACATTGAGAAAGGGAAGCCCATGCTAGCATCGGAGGCTTCTTGGTGTTAAGTTGCATCTCATGAGATGTCGAAGAGTGATGCCTAGAGCCAGTTCTCTTGAGATTACTTTTTGCTTCATAGAGCTGTTAGACATTGGGGTGTCAAGCAATTTTTGGCTTCTATCTAATTGCAAGCTTCTTCAGCGGAGGCTTAAGCTTTCCATCATCTCGTTTACACTCGAAATGGCTGCAGGATAGTTTCTTTTCAGATCTCTCTCGAGTAAGCTCTTTTCTTGTTTTGGCCAGCATAATGGAAACTTTTGGCGAGCTCATTTCTACTTAATCCTCACGACTAAGGTAGAAAGAAGTCATATAGGCTTTCTGTTTCCGTAGGCTTTGAAACATCTTTAATATGAAGTTATCTTTCGTTTATTATCTGAAATGGGATGGTTTTGCCCACTGTAATGCCAAAACCATGTTTTACCGTTTGCTTTGTGAAGGTTACCACGAAAGCTTGTGGTTTGACCCAAGGGAAAAGAAAATTCCAATCATCTTTGTCAATAATCGATGTCGAAATGTTTTACTTTTTTGCTTGAGAGGCATTGAAATGGTATACTTAGAGAGACGTGTTTCCCTAAAGCTTTGGGAAATTCCCCTGTGCCTATTGAAAATTCTAACGCGATGCGATAGTAATCTCATACGTTTTTTGTGTCATAAAGAAAAAAAAAGCATATTATATACTCTAATATTGAATTAAGAAAATTCGCAATCTCCACATTTCGCTTTAATTGAAGGTTCATACTATAATTCGAGGACCATATCGTGTGATTTCGTTGCACGATTGGACCTTATTCGACTTTGATGTGTTTTGAAGGGCTTTAAGCTACATTCCGGTTTCTTCCAAAATAAACAAAAAATAATTTAATTTATCAAAATTGCGGACAATTCTAGGCCATTTTGAGTGTTAAATATCTATTTGTTTTTGGAATTTTTTGTGTTTAGAGTAAAAATCTCACACTTTTAACATAAAAATAAAACTCAAAAGCCAAAAGTCAAGAGTAAAAGTCAAAGCCAATGAGATCTTTGGATGTGATGCATATTGTACAAGATAGGGAAAATTTCAACGTGCGACCCAATGAGAAATTGAGAATGCATCATGCGACCCCATGAGGAATTGAGAATTCAACATGCTTGCCTCGCTACAATTTGCCTCGTTACAATATTCAACGAGGTGATTCCTTTCAATGGTTTCAAGAGACTTCTCTTTCTTCCCTTACTTTTCCCTTGTTTCTATCTTTGGGTCGCTATTTGCTCACCGAAGAGTTATCAGGGGCGATTGACTTATCCGACCTTTCCTGATATTAGATCCACATCCGCTACGAAAATGTTTTATTTGAATCACAATTATTCACGACTGTCCGTGGTCGGCGGTCCAAAGATTCGAGAGTGACAAACTTGTTGTCTCATCTCGTTGGGATGTAGGAGGTCTAAATTTCATTTGGTCACAGCTGAATACATGCATTGATCCCCGGAAGCGATATCATCATCGTGACCTCGCGTTTATGGAATACAACTATAGCTCCTACCATTAGGCGTTGGGCGTTGGGCGTTGAGGTTACGCTATTAATTGATTAGTCTTTCTTTTCAAAACCTAACTATACTGTGCGCAAGACGAGAGGACGTCGACCGTCGCCAAGGTCGCGGGGTCGGTTGACCAAGGTCGCGGGGCTACCCAATGAACGGCAATTCTCACCTTGTGCTTTTCGAAGCCGGTATCCATTATCTTTCTCTATCTTTCTTATTAAGAAATTCCTGCCGTCCCGAATGGGAAAAGGTCCAATCTTTCTTGCTTTTTGCACCCAGATTGCGAAAAGGTCGTGTGCGTCGCCATCCTGATGAAGCGACTGGCATTGACGAAATGCGCATTGCTTTTTATTTCGTTGTCATGATGGGCCCTTAATACGTGTAGATCCGTCTCTAATGAAACATTTTTCAATTGATGCTCACCTCGGGAGCAACATTTTCTCCTAGGTGTTTAGCCGGAAACAGGCTTACCTCCTAGTATTCTCTCTCTCTTTTTCTTTATTTTCTTTTATTTTATGTATAAAAGATAGGTGCCATGCTTGGCTAACTTTCATTCCTCACATTAACCCATCGGATTAGAGGCGGAACGGCGCGAAAAATCGGGGATTTGCGAGAGATTGCTTTAATCACGGCCTCGCAGTCAGAGAGGTCGGCTGCATCGCGCAAGAATCAAATCCGGTTCTTCACGCTTTATTTTTCGCCGTTCAGATGTTTTCGAATCATGATAGAGGGGCAACAAAATGGGAACAATCTCACTCCCTAAAGAAAAAAAAAGGTCATTCTCATCACAGGTGCACTTTTTGGTAGAGCAGGACGTTTTCCAATTTCTCTCGTCCTCTTTTTCTTCTTCGCCTGGGACCAATTGCTTATCCTTCGATTCTGATCAGGAAGCAACTTGGTCGTCATTTTCAATGGCGAAGGGGGGGATCGTGGGAAAGCCACAAGGTCCACCCCCCCCACACGCTTTTTCATTTGCGGGTTTTGCGGTGAAAGCGTGCGTGTCATGGACGAGGAGGTTTCATTTCTTTTCTTGGGGATATTGTATCGACGTGGCGACGTTGCGTCCCTGCTTCTTATGTTTACCGCCTAATGCGATTTTTGGAACCCCTCAGCGAGAGCATAAACTAGGTGAACATTGAGAAAGGGAAGCCCATGCTAGCATCGGAGGCTTCTTGGTGTTAAGCTGCATCTCATGAGATGTCGAAGAGTGATGCCTAGAGCCAGCTCTCTTGAGATTACTTTTTGCTTCATAGAGCTGTTAGACATCGGGGTGTCAAGCAATTTTTGGCTTCTATCTAATCGCAAGCTTCTTCAGCGGAGGCTTAAGCTTTCCATCATCTCGTTTACACTCGATATGGCTGCAGGATAGTTTCTTTTCAGATCTCTCTGGAGTAAGCTCTTTTCTTGTTTTGGCCATCATATTGGAAACTTTTGGCGATCACATCTACTTAATCCTTACGACTAAGGTAGAAAGAAGTCATACATACAGGCTATCTGTTTCCGTAGGCTTCGAAACATCTTTAATATGAAGTTATCTTTCGTTTATTATCCGAAATGCGATGGTTTCGCCCACTGTAATACCAAAACCATGTTTTACCGTTTGCTTTGCGAAGGTTACCATGAAAGCTTGTAGTTTGGCCCAAGGGAAAAGAAAATTCCAATCATCTTTGTCAATAATCGATGTCGAAATGTTTTACTTTTTGCTTGAGAGGCGTTGAAATGGTATACTCGTGTTTCTTTAAAGCTTTGGGAAATTCCCTTGTGGCTATTGAAAATTCTAACGCGGTGCTATAGTAATCTCAACTTTTTTGTGTCATAAAGAAGAGAAAAAACATTTTTAGGATGCCAATATACAAAAATGTTGACTTAAGAAAATTCACAATCTTGAAATCTCGCTTTAATCGAAAGTTCATACTATAATTCGAGGACTACATCGTGTGATTTCGTTGCACGGTTAGACCTTGTTCTACTTTGATGTGTTTTGAAGGGCTGTAAGCCACATTCCAGTTTTCCTCAAAATAAAAATAATAATCTAATTTATCAAACTTGCGGAAAAATCTTGGTCATTTTGTGTTTTAACATTCATTTATTTTTGGAAATTTTTTTTTTGTGTTCTAGAGTAAAAATCTCACACTTTTAGCACAAAAATAAAACTCAAAAACAAGCTAAACCCAATGAGAAATTGAGAATGCATCATGGGACCCTATGAGGAATTGAGAATTCAACATGCTTGCCTCGCTACAATTTGCCTCGTTACAATATTCAACGAGGTGATTGACTTATCCGACCTTTCCTGATATTAGATCCACATCCGCTACGAAAATGTTTTATTTGAATCACAATTATTCACGACTGAGGACTTTTAAATAATTTTTTAATATAATATAATATAATTTTTTTTAAAAAGTACACGCGTCCGGCTAAATGGCGTCGTTTTTGTTTTTAATGCCGATCGACCTCTCCTAGCAAGCCGTGACCTCTCCCATGAGCCGTGTCGGGCCGCCACATCGGATTTCCGACGAGCCACATCAGCATTGGCGGTCACTAAAATGATCGTTTTTCAAAAAGTTGGCACCAAAGTGATCCGAAAAAGTTATGGCACCAAAGTGATCGCCGTGACACAAGCTTACAGACTTGTGGTGTACTTTTGCCCATGAAAGCTTGTAGTTTGGCCCAAGGGAAAAGAAAATTCCAATCATCTTTGTCAATAATCGATGTCGAAATGTTTTACTTTTTGCTTGAGAGGCGTTGAAATGGTGTACTCGTGTTTCTTTAAAGCTTTGGGAAATTCCCTTGTGGCTATTGAAAATTCTAACGCGGTGCTATAGTAATCTCATAACTTTTTGTGTCATAAAGAAGAGAAAAAACATTTTTAGGATGCCAATATACAAAAATGTTGACTTAAGAAAATTCACAATCTTGAAATCTCGCTTTAATCGAAAGTTCATACTATAATTCGAGGACTACATCGTGTGATTTCGTTGCACAGTTAGACCTTGTTCTACTTTGATGTGTTTTGAAGGGCTGTAAGCCACATTCCAGTTTTCCTCAAAATAAAAATAATAATCTAATTTATCAAACTTGCGGAAAAATCTTGGTCATTTTGAGTTTTAACATTCATTTATTTTTGGAATTTTTTTTTTTGTGTTCTAGAGTAAAAATCTCACACTTTTAACACAAAAATAAAACTCAAAAGCTAAAAGTCAAGAGTAAAAGTCAAAGCTAATGAGATCTTTGGATGTGAATCACACTTGTACAAGATAGGGAAAATTTCAACGTGCGACCCAATGAGAAATTGAGAATTCAACGTGCTTGCCTCCTTACAATTTTGTCTAAGAAGACCAAAATTTTCAACGCGGTGATTCATTTCAAAGTTTAAGGAGAGTTCTCTCTCTTCCCTTACTTTTCCTTCGTTTTCGTTCTTGGGTTGCCATTTGCTCACCAAAGAGTTATCAGGGGCGATCGACTTAACCAACCTTTCCCAATATCACATCCACATCTAGTACGAATTGTTTGATTTAAATCACAATTATTTAACACTGCCCGTGGTCGGCGATCCAAAGATTCAAAATTGACAAACTTGTTATCTCGTCGTGTTGGGATGTAGGAGGACTAAAATTCATTTGCTCACAGCTGAATACATGCATCGATCTCCGAAGCGATATCAGCATCGTGACCTCTCGTTTGTGGAATACTACTAGCTCCTACCATTAGGCGTTGGCCATTGAGGTTACGCTATTAATTGACTCGTCTTTCTTTTCAAAACCTAACTATACCGTGCGCAAGACGAGAGAACGTTGACCGTCGCCAAGGTCGCGGGGCTACCCAATGAATGGCAATTCTTCATTGTGTGCTTTTCGAAGCCCATATCTATTATCTTTATCTTTCTTATTAGGAAATTCCTGCCGTCCCGAATTGGAAAAGGTCCAATCTTTCTTGCTTTTTGCGCCCAGATTGTGAAAGGTCGTGTGCGTCGCCATCCTGATGAAGCAACTGCCGTCGACGAAATGCGCATTGCTTTTGATTTCGTTGTCATGATGGGCCCTTAATACGTGTAGATCCGTCTCTAATGAAACATTTTTCAATTGATGCTCACCTCGGGGAGCAACATTTTCTCCTAGCTGTTTAGCCGGAAAGAGGCTTACCTCCTAGTATTCTCTCTCTCTTTTTCTTTATTTTCTTTTATTTTATGTATAAAAGATAGGTGCCATGCTTGGCTAACTTTCATTCCTCACATTAACCCATCGGATTTGAGGCGGAAGGCGCGAAAAATCGGGGATTTGCGAGAGATTACTTTAATCACGGCCTCGCTGTCAGAGAGGTCGATCATACCTAGCAAGAATCGAATCCGGTTCTTCCCGCTTTATTTTTCCGCCATTCAGATGTTTTCTTATACACCAAGGTCGATTTATAATAGAGGGGCAACAAAATGGGAATAATCTCACTCCCTAAAGAAAAAAGAAAGTCATTCTCATCACGGATGCACTTTTGGTAGAGCAGGACGTTTTCCAATTTCTCTCGCCCTTTTTTTCTTTGCATGGGACCAATTGCTTATCCTTCGATTCTGATCAGGAAGCAACTCGGTTGTCATCTTCAATGGCGAAGAGGGGGATTGTGGGAAAGCCACAAGTACCCCCCACACGCTTTTTCCTTTGCGGGTTTTGCGGTAAAAGCGTGCGTCATGGATGAGGAAACGATTCTTTTCTTGGGGGTATATTGTATCGACGTGGCGTCGTTGCGTCCCTGCTTCTTATGTTTACCGCCTAATGGGATTTTTGGAACCCCGGAGATGCGTGCGCATCTCGCCAAATGGAACCTTGCATAGCTCATCGACTCGCCTTCTCTAGAGGAGGGAGAGGATGGAGAAACACTCTCGCCCAAAGATCCGGCGCAACCGCGGTCGTCGGATCACGAGAGGCCCACGTGAAATTACGGCTAGACCGATCCGGGCCGATCAGGGTCGAGGGGGGCCCGCGTGATCGACGGCTCGATGGATCCGGTCGACGCGGGCCGAGAGATACCGGGTGAGAAGCTACCGGAGGAAGAGGGGGCCCGGATGATAAGTTTCTCCCTTTTAATGTCCTAAACGAATGGTGTCAAGGAAAGAGGGGTTTGTTCTCGAGTTGTTCTCACGTGCCAGCACAAAGAATGCAGAACCGGAAAACTTACCTAAAGTCAAGAAAAAACGAACAGAAAAGAGAACTTTGCACCGCATTCAATCATCACGAAGTCAAAAATCTTAACGAAATGAACCCAACAAGAAGATGAAGATCCCATGGAGGAGAGGGAAATCCCATCAAACTACACAGACGCCAAGATCTCCTCCTCTTCCTCCTCGCCTATCGATCCCAAACCTGACCGTATTTACTGACTTCGCACGACGGAAAAGCAAGAAGCCACTCCGACAACCTCAGAAAGTAGGGAAGAAACAGAAGGAATACATGTTCACAGTATACATGTTCCGTTTCAAGCGCAGGCTTGATCTTTGCCGGCGGGGAGGGAGACGGAGGGGGCCTGGAGGAGCCGCTGGGCCTGCGACAGCTGCTCCATCAGGAGCACCACCCGCGCCCGGTACTCGCGCGCCTGCACCACGGCCTCGGCCTCCAGCTCCCCGAGCTGCGAGCAGAGCCGCTCCTCCGCCTCCTCCGCCACCCGCAGCCGCTCCGCCGTCCTCCGCAGCTCGTCCCGCGCCCGCCCCTCCCGCTCCCGGCTCTCCCGCAGCTCCCGCTCCAGCTCCTCGTTCCTCCTCGCCAGCACCTTCTCCGGCTCGACCCGGGTCGTCGCGGTGGCGGCGGCGGGAGCCATAGGCGACCCCAAGATTCTTGGACCTCGGTGCGAGCTGAGCGCGTTCGAGATCGAGAGAGAGACCGTGGTTGGCTGCAGCTAGAAGTCCGCCAGAACGGCGGTTTAATATAAAGAGGAAAAGTCTTGGAATGTCCGGTGTGCGTGTGCATGTCCAGGTTCGATGAATCTAACGGTGTTGAATTTTTCTAGACATCTTTCTCTCTTTTGCGCAGATTTTGATGATTGAACCGAGTAAAATTAAGGTAATACTATGAAAAATCTCAAACTGGTAAGGACCCGGATGAAAAGCATATCAGGTGTACTAATTTAAAATTTTTCATGATAAAAAAATTAAGTTAGGATAAAATTGCCATAAATGTACCGGTTTGGGTTTTTCGCGGTATTAACCTTTAAATATTAACCCTTTTATTTATTCATTTATATATATATTTATTTATTTTTTAACATTTTCAAATCTGGGATTCGGCAGGTTGCGCGAGAATAGATCTTCGCTTCGCCCATTGGATGGACAAAGTCAGCAAGGATGCTTCGCGAAGGTGGCAGCTTGAGGCGTTTTGGTTGCTACGGTTTTTGGAATTCTTCCTAGGCTCCTCCAAATTCATCTAGTCATGTCATCCGTGACGAAATTTGAGACGGATGAAAGAGGGACTTTCGGAAGATAGAGAGATCGATGCTCGTGAAGAGACCGGCCTCGAAGCGCGATGCCGAGCCAGCGACGTCGGATTTACATCGTTTGGCTCGGCTAATGCGAACTCGGGCAATCACAAGACATCACTTGAGTTCTGGGCGACCCCACCTTTTCGCAAGTGAAGTTCCGCCTAACTTGTCAACTATGCGAGATTCGATAAGATTTCATTAGATATTCTTCTTTCCTTCGGGCTAGATAAATAAAAGGAATCTAATTAAACCCTCATGATGCATATCTAACTTTTTCCACCACTCAAAATTAAATATGCATGGAAAATTTCGTATCTGCGAGAGTCCTACACATGAAACACGATCATTGCCATCAAATCATACGTATCCCATGATGAGATCCATCTCCACTAACGACCGTTGACAATTCGCTACGATTAGATTCGTCCGTATGAGCAACCCCACGAATCTATTGCGCCAATTTTGTGGTCTTCTATGTAATTGGCGATGCTCGATTCCTTTCCAAACTCTCATCGTCATGATGCCCCAAACTTTCTCCAAGCGACGGCTTTCGGCTTTTCATTTTTAACCCACGCGATGTTCCACTTCTCAGAAGCATATTCCGAAGGAATCTAACGAATGATCTTGCAAGAGATTGGTCGGACCCATTTAGTGTCGGATCGAAGAGAGTGGTGTGGGGTTCCGTGATTTGTCGTGGGTCCGGACCCACGAAGTGGTCCTAATCGATGTGCGTTGGCGAATTAGAAAAACGTCGGCTGCTTTCACCCGGGTTCGCATGGCAAAAACAGGCTATGTCCCTAAGTTAGGTCCTCTCCATCTTTTGATTCTCTAAATGGTTCTCTCTCTCACTCTCTCTCTCTCTCTTCATGAAGGCATGCGATGGCCCTTCCCCCGTTCCGATTGCCCGAAAATGTCGATCCGAGACGTTTTGACCGTCGGATCAGAGATGAAGTGACACAAGGCGAGGCTGTCGGATTGGATACAAGTGTGGAGTTTTTTATGGTAAAAAAAATAATTCGGGATAAATTTATCACAAATGTACCAGTTTGAGATTTTTTGTAGTAAAAAAATTAGTTCGGAGTAAAATTATCACAAGTGTACTAATTTGAAATTTTTTTGTGGTATTAACCCTATTTAATATGGTTAATACCATTAAAAACCTCAAATTGATATATATTCGTGTCACATTTATACCAAATTACTTTTTATGTCACAAAACATTATGAACTAGTATACTCATGCAACATTTACACTAAACTGGTGTACCTATGTCGCATTTACCCAAATAAATTTGAGATTTACCATAAATTAGGATAAATGTGGCACGGTTACCAGTTTGGGATTTTGTACGACACAAAAAATTGTTTGGGTTAATGTGGCGCGGGTTTATTAGTTTGGGAGTTTTTGTGCCGCAAAAATTAGTTTGGGATAAATGTGACACGGATGTATTGGTTTGGAGTTTTTGGTGATATTATCCCTATTCGATAAGGGAAATTATTGTACGTTGAAAAAGAAAATTACTAGTCAATATAGGAAAAGTTACTTTTCCCAATTTACTTATTATGATTAGTAAGTTAATGAAAACTTATTTTGTTCTCTACGAAAATTTATTAACCACAATGGAAAATGTAACTTTGAGTGACAATACTAAGAATTCTAAGGTGGTTTGGTTAGTAACTAATTGGTCAGATTAGCAAGTTTGCAAACGGGAGAGACAATTGTCATATCTAAAATTCGCATGTGATTGGGTAAAATTGTCGTAATCTCAAGCAAATTTTGAAAATATCTACAATTAACAAGTTCCTATAAAAGAATATAGAGTAATTATGAGCCGCTTAGGCTCCATTTATTTAGCGAAAAATGAATGATTTGAAAAATATTTTTTGAAAAATGATTACTTATATCGCTTGGAATGATTAATTGATGAAATATATTTTCTTCGTTAGCAATAAATTATATTTAAATATTTTTAAAAAATGTGAAAGTATTTTTCGTTCATTTATTCTTCTAAGCAGTACAATGGGTTCTAGAGTGAGAAGCGTGGAGCTCGCGTTGCTTACTGCAATGGAGGTTTGGTTCAGTATTGGTCCACCTCCTGTACTTCTGTCTCCCATCCCCTCCACCACTCATTTCTCCACGTTCCTTCTCTCTGTCTCTGTCTTTCTCTCTCTCTCCTTGATTTGTTCTGTTGCAGTCTCTCTTGACAGGAGGTAACACAGTGATACCTCATGATAAATCCTTTTTTAATGCAAACCTTTGAATGAGCTATGATTTGCTTGGGATCGATTCAGTTCAGTCGAGCCGGTTCGGATTAGTTCGATCTGGCGGCAGCATTTCGCGACTCGATGGGTGGATTTAGCGCTGGTTTCGCCACCTTTTGGACTAAATCGAACCCGGTCCAGTTTGTACGGATGATCGAGTTAACAACGTTTTGCATGAAGTGAAACGGTGATCGATCAGTTTCCGGAGCGAAGTCAGATTGATGGTTTTATGACTTGGTGGATTCTTCATTGCAAAATTTCGTAATTTGAGCCCTCTATCATCACCTAGTACGAATTCAGAACTGATTCTGCTGTCATGAGGTGCTAAGACTCCTTACTTATGAAGAAAGTTTCAGAAAAAGAAAGCAAACGTTAGATTTCATTTGCTACGAATGATAATTCTCGATGCGGGACTCGAAGAAATGCATTCGGAGTCCAGTGTGCACCTTCTGTGTGTTATTCGACCATTCCTAGTTCTACTGCTTTTCCATCTTTCTTTGGTTCTATCCGTCTGTAATTCTTCATTCGATTCTCATGATAGAACTCATACCTAGGTACCTGATCATTCTTTGAAGCTCTGGAGCTTATACAGTCTGGAATACACTCCACTTGCTGATCTGATCAGCGTCGAATGGGGACCTGTCTCCACGATCTCCCCCTTGTCCATGACTATGATGCAGTCTGATTTTACTATGGTGGACAGCCTATGTGCTACTGTAATGACGGTGGTCCGGGACAAGAGGCCACCGATATCGGACTCATTTGCTGCTTCTAGAGCACTCACGATACTCCTTTCGGATTCAGCATCGAGGGCGCTCGTCGCTTCGTCCAGGAGCAGCATTGCCGGCCTCTTCAGCAGTGTTCTTGCAATGGCTATTCTTTGCTTTTGTCCCCCAGAAAGTTGGCAGCCTTTCTCCCCGGCTAGGGTGTCGTAGCCATCCGGCAAACTGCTTATGAACTCATGTATGTTGGCCTGCCTCGTCGCCTCTATTATTTCAGCTTCCGAAGCTCCGCTGTTTCCATAACAGATGTTTTCTCTAATGGAGGAACTAAATAGGATGGGCTCTTGTTGCACAAACCCTATTTGTGTCCTCAACCATCTCAGATTGTATTCTCTTATGTCCTTCCCATCAATGAGCACCTTTCCTTCCATAGGATCGTAGAACCTCAGCAGAAGGGCCAGAATAGAGGACTTTCCAGCTCCACTTGGCCCGACGAGAGCTACCTTCATCCCGGCTTCAATTTTCAACGTGAAGTTCTTCAAAACAGTGACTTCTGGTCGTGATGGGTAGATGAATTTGACGTTCTGGAACTCAGCAGTTCCTTCGATCCTCCCAAGATGCGTATTTTCCGGCACATCTGGTTCGATTTCAGTTTTTCGGTCGAGGGTCTGGAATGCAGGAGTGAGTATGCTCATGGCCGATATTACGGTGGGGATCAGTGTCCACAACTCCGTAATAGAAGGTACCGTGAGAGAGAAAATCTGGTACGATCTTATGCCATCTTCGAATGAGGCTTGGCGTCTATCGACCAAGACCGTGGTGTACCACAAGGCAACTGCATGTGCAATGTTCCATAAGCAAAGAGAGAATCCTTGAATTATTCCGTACTTGATACTAGTTCTCCTGCTCTCTTTCTTTGGGACTTCCAATGCTGACTTGGCTTTCCTCAGAATTTGCTCTTCATAGCAAAAAGATGCTACAGTTCTTATGTTTGTTGCCGACTCAGAAGTTAGGGAAACAACTTCGCGATGTGCTGCCGCAGAGTCGCCGGAAAATCCTTTGGCTGACTTGGCTTGAATGAGCCCACCAATGAAGTGGCAAGGCATCACAGCCCAAGCTACTAGACCCATTCTCCAGTTTACAACCATGCTAACTACCGTAGCAATCAGTATAGAAGCTATGCATTGGACAATTACAGACATGCGATCAGATATTATCACTTTCACCATGGATGTATCATTGATGATTCGCGAAGTAAGCAACCCAATGCTGTTCTCGGGTTTCTCAAACCAAGTGAATTCATTGCGCAGTACACCTGCAAGATTTTAGAATAATCAATGCAAAATGTACTCTAAAATGATTCATAACTCGGGGAAAATCTCAAATTTGAGGCTATTAGTTTCTGCATTGAACTGTAAAGGACTCTGCTAGGAAAAAGGAGTGACGGATACCTGAAAAGAGAGCTTTTCTAAGGTTTGTCATGGCCTTCTCACCGACCATACCGAAGTAGTAATGCTGCAAGATGTGAGAGACTAATGATAGCAACCCTATAAGGGAGAATGCGATTGAGTACCGTCCAACTTTCTGCTTGGCATGTTCATGGTAATATGCTACACCTATTGTTATGATGAAGAACCCAAAAACAGGCTTTGAGATTCCAGAGAAACCTGCTGCAAAGGAGCCTATGGCTGTCTTGACAAGTTCCTTCCTCCTTAACCCAAACCAGATTCTAAAGAAGTGGACTGCTTCTAATCTTTTCTCGTGCTCCTCTTGCTCAGGATCTTCTCTGAGGCTTTCTTCTGTCTTTGCACCTTTTTCACTTAAAACTCTGCTTTGAGGTGAGCCATGGGGTTGGTCAATTTCAGAATCTTGCGAAGATATATCAGTTCTGTCATTCAATCAACAACATGGGCCAGTGAGGACCTGTTTTTATCAATATAATCGTCATACACAAACAGTAGGAAATAATTATTATGAGGCAGCCAACCTTTCATCACGAACAACACTGATGTTCTGCATGTTGAATAAGCTGTTGTAAAATTTGCTGGTATCCAACAAGGTACTGTGTGTTCCTGTCTCTTTAACCAGTCCATTCTCTACGACCGCGATTTCATCTGCATTAATGATGGTTGACAATCTGTGCGCAATCAAGATCACTGTTCTTCCCTGCATGGCCTTCTCCAATGCCTCTTGAACCAGCTTCTCTGATTCCGAATCAAGAGCACTTGTGGCCTCATCGAGCAGAAGTATTGGAGGATCCTTGAGAATGGCTCTGGCTATAGCAATTCTTTGTTTTTGTCCTCCTGATAACTGGAAGCCCCTTTGCCCCACCTAGACCATTTTGGCACCAGAATTTGACTCAGAATCCTTCTTTTTTTTTTTTTCCAATGAGAGCTTGAGAACTTTCAAGAGAGACATCTTTCGTTTACATCTGTTGCTAGGAGATTGCATTTTACCTCTGTCAAATACTTATCTGGAAGTTGTGAAATGAAATCATGTGCATTTGCCATCATTGCTGCGTTCTCTATTTGTTGGTCATCTGCATCCATATTTCCTACTTTAAGGTTGTCCTTGATAGTGCCAGCAAACAGTGATGGTTCTTGGGAAACTGCTCCAATATTTTGCCGTAGGAACTTCAAATCAAGATTCTTGATGTTTTGGTTATCTATGAGAATGACCCCTGAAAACATGCAATATTAGCCCATTGTCAGCAACCTTTGTGCACAAAAAATGTATGAGCAATAGAAGCATGAAACCATGGGAATAATATGGAGAGGATAACAAATATCAGCTCAAGAGCATGGAGTATAAAGGTTTCAGACCTTTTGATGGATCATAGAATCTTGCAACCAGGGATATGATTGTGCTTTTCCCACACCCACTGCTACCAACTAATGCCACTGTCTTTCCTGCTGGAATTGACAGCGTAAAACCTTGAAGAATCACTTTATCTTCTCGGGATGGGTAAGCAAAGTGAATGTCCCTTATGTCAATGTTTCCCTCAACTTCCTTCAATATGATCCCCCCTGAAGCGTTGCTAATGATTGGTTTTCTCTGGATCACCTTGAAAACTTCATTTCCTGCTGCTTTTGCTTGGTTAAATACTTGCATGTCTGGTGCAGCATAAGTGATTGAGCTGGAATGCAAAAGAAGCCACGGTCCATAATCAGAGTTATATCTTCTTCACTTCATGATTTGAAGATTCTTAAAGATATCTTCTTATGAGGCTCAAAATAATATGCATCATACAAGCATTCATACAAAACTTTAGAGAACCCACGGAAGATGATGTTATTTCCCATGTAATCTGCAGAATAACTAGCTTGGTGATCATCATTGGATTGCTTCTCTGGCCGCTGTAAGACAAAACAATCACATCCAAAAACTCTACAAGAAAGGTAAACTTTTCTTACATAGCTCCAAAGAGGATGCTCATGACTGCTGCTATGACGTTCCCTCCACTAGATCTTCCAGCAGTAACCACAATTGCTCCGACCCATATAATTAGTGCCCAAGAGCAGTTGGTCACAGTTTGAAACATTCCTGTTCCAACTCCCTTTAGTAGTGCCTCTCCTCTGCTCATAACAGACTGCTTGTCCATGCATTCTGAGAATGACTTGATTGCACGATCCTCTCCAACAAATGCCAAGACCGTTTTTATATGAGATATGGTCTGTACGTTGTCAAACCTTAACCCGTAAGTTTTCAGATGATTCCCCTTTTCTTAGATTTTCAATAAAAAAGGGTAGAAGTTTTTTCACCTGTTCCACGACAGTAGTAGCTTCGGATAGGTAAATCATTTTGGCTGCTGAGATGGCATTCATTTTCTTGGTGTAGGTGGCTCCAATTAGTAGAATCAAGGGAACTACAAACAAGGTGACCAGTGAAACTTCCCAACTGCAAATGAAGGCAATCAAGACTCCAGAAAAGAAAGTGGCGAAGCACGAAAGGAAGTGCCCCAGCTGCTAGCAAAAAAGTTATGTTAGCATGATCGGCAAATTTCGGTGGGGAAAGCTCAAAAGCAGTCAATTTGAGGGAGAGATTGCCACCTTCTCTCCTATAGCATCCTGAATTACACTCATGTGAGTACTTATCCCGGCAATGACTTTTCCACTTGACAATTCAGTATCAAAAGCTCCAATCTCCTGGCTGAGGACCGATCTCAGGAACGCTAATCTGATTCTTGCTGTTTGTCTTTCGCTCGTGTACATCCAGCATCCAATCTCTGCAGATAATTGGAAGCCATGTGAATGCTACGTTACCGCGTACTCTCTATACTTTTAGTTTTCTCTCTTGTAGTTAATCCATTGCTTCTTACTAACTCTTTTGCTAACAGTCCAATATGATTAATGATTATATGATACTTCCGATCCCATAAAACTTGATGCGACGTTTGAGGATGAAGGCATCATCCCTTACATTCACAGTTCATAATATGTGGTACTTCTCTTTCACCAGCCCTCATATTATTAGAAACTTTGCACTCGAAAAACTGACATATGCACTTGATCTAAAGATACCCCTGTTTTTAAAACTTATAAGGAGGAAGAGGAAGGGATGTTTTGATTGTAAGTAAGATACCCATGGTTCAGCTTTCCTGGGATTGGGACGGGCTTTCTACTTTAAGGTTGGCTTGTTAGCTGTGTGCTCGGGAGTAACACAAGAAATTAAGCAATTTCTAGTGGGTCTAGTAACCCCATCTTGTCTTTCTAATATTTGCTGGTATCTAGGCAAAAGCTTCGATCTGGATAGTGCAGTTTAAGCATTTTCCTGCGACGCAACACGGTGCATGCTTGTCTTTTTTAGAGATGAGTCAAAACCTTAAGGTGAACTTTTGCTGGCAAGGCGTTCTGTTTCTCAGAACGTGTAGTCTTTTTGATCTGGAGAGGTTATGGACACTTGCTTGCAGAGGCAATGCCGAGGTCATAAACTACTGATTTTCTTGTCTTACTGATCTAGAGATTGACACAGTTTCATCAAAGCCCGAAAAAAAATTATATGATATAGGGAGGCGCTATTTCCACTCATATATGACTAAATCCACCCAATTTTCTTCAAAAAGACAAAACTGCCCCCCAATCATTCAGTTGCAATTTAAGCGATGAGCCTCTTGATTAGTTTTGTCGAAAGAAAAACTTTCAAGAAACCTAATTTCGAGAAACCCTCTTTAAATATTTTTCAGAATAAAATCACAGTTACATTCTCCAACATGAAACTTTTCAAGATAAATTTAATTTTAAAAAAACATCGCATAAAAAGAATTTTTCTTAAACGCTATTGAAATCTCATCATTTTAAATTGACAAATTTAATATCATCATTATTATGCATAATTTTCACACCAATGTTTTTAGTGTATTCCTAGATACTCCTACACTGTCCTCCATGCTTCATATAAAAATATATCGCCAGTAGTAAGGGAAAAAGACATTGTTTGATGAGTTAATTAGGAGACTTGATATACATTTTCTTGGAAATTTCTCGTTTTGACAAGAATTATTTCTACAGAAGTAAAATGTAAAGATTAAAAAGAAAACATAGTACCTTTAATATACATTAAATACCCACAATAAACAAAAACAAAACATGTAAAATGTTTGATTATGACAACTAGATTCTCAATAGAAATACAAATAAATAAAGGAAAAACGGAGGAACGGGAGCCACCACTACAAATTGCAATTGAATCCTGAAGGGCAATTGTGTCTTTTGATTGCAAATGTGAGTGAATTTAGTCATATATGGGGTGGAAATAACGCCGCCCTAAGTGCGACCCTAACGAGTGCTTATGCCAACAACAAACTGCAACTCTGCGACTGAATAAAACCTATGCATCTCCATCATCTCAAAAAAATCAAAAGAAGCCAACCTAGAATTCCAGCAGGGAAAGTTGCGAAGGCCATGTACCACACATATGGAACAACCTGAAAAAAAGTAAGAAAAAACATTTATGAAAAGTTCTGATGGCAAGGTGTATGTGAATCATCCGCAATCAGTAAGTTGGTACTTGAAGGTGCGCCGTGAACAAATATAGCCACCAGTCGACAGTAAGCTAGGAACTGTAAGTGCCGTGCCGCTATCTACCTTCTTCAGAGCTTTAACCATGCCGTCTGTGTCCTGGATATGACTCCCGAAAGCATTTAGTGCTTTGCCAAGCAACAAATATCCAACAGGCTGAGCCATCCCGTGGACGACGGATCCTATGGTCCCTAGAGCCATTAAAATCCAATCGAGCGCGTCTGCATACTTCAAAAGCTTATAGAATGGCAAGCCTATCGGATCACTCTTCTTCTTCGCTTCCTCCGGTACTTCTGTTTCCTTCCCTTCCACCTGCGCGGGCTGTTCGGGCTTGGTAGATGTCTGCGCCATTTTCCTTTTTTCACGTGCAGAGAGGACTGTGTGATGTGTTGAGAATGGACGCAGTCCCATGAAGATTATATATAATTTATGAATACTATGCTGTGCGAGGAATATATGGAGCATATCCTTTGAGCTTTGGAAAAAATAATAGCGAGAAAGTGTTCTCCTTCTCAGTATTTCCGTTGACGTTTACGAGCCTGCTGCCACAGAGAAAACATACAGAAGCAGACATTGTTTGAGCAAGCAATTCTCAGTTTTATTCCCCTAGATTAATCGCATTTTGGTGTAAGTAAGAATATTTCGTAGACATCAAAAGTGATGGTTTAGGAAAATCGATACCGAATCAACAGATGCCAGAAAGGTCAGTCCCTGTTCATGGAGATTCTTTTGGATGTAGTTTTTCCTCAAAACATCGTACATGTCCAGCTAGCTAACATCTCACAAGATGGCTAAGTAGCTAGCTTGAATCTATCCGTCTTGTGATATCCTTAGATGCACGAGGGACGTTTTTTTCTGTTACTTTGGGATTCACCAACGTAGAAGTATCTTGGGTTTGAGCTCTTCTTCAAGCCGTTCACATTTACTGCTAAAGTGACTCGTTTCGCTCAGCCTTTTGTCACATCTCTTACTCCTTCCTCATCTAATCTTTATATCAATCCCTAGTCTGTGATTATTTGTTCTGCTCAAACCTTTAACTTGGTGATCAAGGAGTAGGAAACCCATTTCCCTCAGCCTTTCTCATCCCCCTCCCTCTATTTCGGCGAGAAAATGTTTAACAATTCTCTCACCGTGATGGTGGCAACTATACGCCGAAATGAATTCAGTTGTTGAGCTGATTTAAGTAAAGATTGCACTTTATGCTTGTGCATAAGGACATCTTCCAGTATGTAGTCTTTGCAGGAGTGTGAAATTGGGTTCTCGGGATCAATCTTACGGTTCATTCATCCCGCAAAAGAATGTGATATTCCTCCACTCAAATCCGAGGAGACGTCATGATCGGACAATGTCCCTGTCCGGCGGTTAAATTAACGACATCAAAAGACGGCAGTTTTCTCTTGTTCCGTTCTGTGGGGTGGATAAGGATACTCTGATTTGACGCCTTCAATAGAGAAAATTGTTCTGTTTCAGCAAAATGCAGACAGACATGAAGTACGAAACAGCCATGACTTGGCCCATGATATAGCTTATAGAATTGGGGAAGAGCACACAGTTCTAGTGCCAAAAATTTCGTACGGTGCTCATTTTGATTTCAAAAGTTTTCGTCAGATCATTCCTATGCCATTTAAAAAAAACGATCTCTTAAATGCCAACTCTGAATTGGGTTGCCGAAAATCCGACGTGACAATATTTTATTAATTTCGCCAACCAATGTGGCTTGCCGGCTTACCCAATCAGCATATATAACATGTTGTGCCCCAAATATAAACCCTAAACCAGACAATGAAGCATTTTGCCAAATTCGAAATCCTAATTCGGTTTTCCCCCATAATTAACAGCGGAATCTTGCAATGGACAGCATGAGCAGGACAGACAGCTCAAGTTCGTTTCAACAAAGCGAAGACGAAGGCGAATATTACTGTGTTGTCGGCTCAGAAGTCCAAGAAGAACATCATGACTGTGGGTGACCAAAGAGCGCCAAAGGTGAGGCGGGTAACCAAAGAGCGAAAGACCATAAACCAGAGTCCACCCCAGACACTTCGCAATTCCAACATTTCTGCGCGTGAGTCCTATTCTGGCGCTTCTCAGGGAAGCGGAGTTTTGGCGGTGGCAATGGAGTTGGACCCAAATGATGTTTTCAAGGACGACAAGGACGATCCTGAGAACGAAGTTCTTCGGGTTTTGCTTCTTTTCGCCCTTTTATTTGTTTCGGCTGGTGTTGGAGAATGAATGAGTTTGTGTTGAATTGTTTGCAGGAAAGAGCGTCAAGCAAAGAGCCTGTGGTATACTTGGTCGATGCTTTTCCTAAAATGTTCTCCACAAAATGCCCTTCTGTGAGTTTCTTCGCTACTGGTTGATTTTGTCATCATCTTTGTCTTCTTTTTTTTTTATATGGAGACGAGTTCCAGGATTCTCAGAAGTTGAGGTTGACTCGTTTTTAATATAAAAAAGTCATGTCCAATTAAACATTTTATTATAAAAGCTACGTAATATTTTTAATCCAAATTTATTGTCGGTGACACTTAAGTGATCGTTTCTTCTCCGATTTGGCGCTTAAGTGATCCGGTCAAAACTTTTGACATTAAAATGAGCGCTGTACGAAACTTTTGGCATCTTTAATGTCATTTTTCCTACAGAATTGATATTGGTTTTCCTCTGAGATGCCAAAAAAAAAAAAAAAAGAATAGAGCCATGTATGCCAGTTTCGAATCACCCGGGAAGAGATATATATCTCTACCAATTGCGCTGTACTAGGGTTGAGGTGATTCACGATGAATTTCGAATGGGACGTTTGCTTGTTGGATATTCGGTTCGCTACTCAATGCGTTCAATATGCATTTAACTTCGTGAAACCGACCATACGAGAGGATATGCTTGACAGTGACGACATGTCTTCTTCCATGAACCCCATCAGGGCCTTTGTAATCATCGATATGTAGTCGTGCAAAACGCCTAGGCGGAGGGAAAAAGATGAAGTAGATAACGTATTTTAACTTGACATGCTTTCGTGTCCATCACCAAAGTGTGAAAGCAACCGTTTGCCGAGTCATTGCAGAAGGTTGAAGATCAGTCTCTTCAGACAATATTTAGGAACTTCGGTATTTACCATGAAGTTTTACCAATCACGGTTTACCCAGCGGGATATGAGCTGTGAATTAATCGCCCATTTTGCTTATGTTTGAGTTTCTTTCTTGGGTCGGAAGGATTCAGATTGAACACGAGAGTTTGTCTCCGCTGGTTCGGTTCGAACTTAAGCTTCGTCGGATCGAGGCACATGTAGTAATGTCCCGCTTTTTGAAAGATCTGTTCTATGTTGTCTAGTTAACTGATTTCCTTGCTATCAACCCTTTTGAATTGTTCGTGATGAAAACTCTTCATAGTCCAGCACTGGCTACAAAAACAGACTAGAAAACGAATGACAGACCTCTCTCCCTTCATTTCAAACTTAGACTGCCACAAATCTCATTTAGCCAAAGTGGGAAAAACACAAAAGGGGAGAAAACTCACAGAATTTTTGTGAACGTTAGCATGTATCGACAAAGGTGAAATTTTGTTAAGTTTACTCCATTAATCTTTTCCCAGCTTTATTGTTGAATTTTGTTTCATTTTATCCCCAGGGAGAAATCTTGAATTTCATTGGAAATATATCGTTAAGAAATCAATGGGAAATTCTGTGGTCTAGGCCAACAATTTAGAGTATCGATCCCGAATGTAATCAGGACAGTTGGATCAAAAGGAAAAAAATTTTAAACCGTGGATTATTTTGAAAAGATAGTAACTTACGAATATTTAAGGAATCGTAGATTGCATGAAGGTTGTTGATTCTCGGCCAGTGGCCGAGGGGGAAGGAAAGAGAAAAAGAAAGGGAAAAAGGAAAGAAAAAAGAATAAGAGAAAAAAAAAAGAAAAAAGAAAAAAATCAAATTTAAAAGATGATTAAAAATTCGAATTAGACAAAGAATTTCTTGTCAAATATTTTTATAAGAATGAACATTTCATTAATTAAGTACCCGAGCTTGAATGTAACCAAGATTGTTGGATCAAAAGGAAAAATATTTCAATGGTGGATTATTTTGAAAAGATAGTAGCTTAAGAATATTTAAGGAATAGTAGATTGCATGAAGGCTGACGATTCTCGGCTAGCCGAGGTAGAAGAAAAATGAAAAAAAAAGAAAAGAAAAAAAAAGAAAGAAAAAACGAGAAAAAAAATTATTTAAAATAAAAAATAATGAATTTCTTTTTAAATATTTTTATAAGAACAAATATTTCATTAATTAAGGACCCGACCTTGAGCGCTAAGAATCCGCGCACGACCTTTGTGGACCAGATCTCGAGTGTCGGGACCCAAGCATGACCTTTATGGGCCTGGGCTCAGGTGCCGGGGAATTCAGGCACATGCACTGGGGGTTCAAGCTTGGCCACAATGGACCCAGGCATGGGTGCTAGGGGCCCAGGCTTAGCCTCGAGAGACCCGAGCTTGACCGCCGGAGATTTGGTCCTGAACGCCGAGATTTGGGAACCAACGTTAGGGTTTTCGTGCCTAAGCGTAGAGTTTCGGATATCTAAACATCTATACTTACTCATATTTTGAAAAATGTTTGACTTCAAACGATCAGCCATCGGCTTCTTTTGCAATACCACCTAGGAACTAAGATACTTGCTTTATAATATGTGCATCTAATCGGCCAATTAGCAGTTGAGTGGATCAAGTCCCGTGAGTATCTAGAGGAGCTTCAACTTTAATGTACGGTGCTATCTTCGGTGCTTATTCTTTTGGTAATCTATGTCAATTCCTTTCTACAACAAATTGCCAAATCCATAACATGTTAGTTCTATGGAGGACATGGTTTGTTTTCCATCATTTTCTAAGGCTATCAGGACCCCTTGGGATTCTTTGCGTGACTGAACATTGGACTAGAAGATGATCATCTCTTGGCCCTACATCATTTCCATGTAAAGAAGAAAAATTAGCTTTGTTCCGTTAGAGCAAGCACTGCAGCAGTTGGATAAGCCTGGCTTTGGCTTGTTGTCCGTTCTTTAGTTTATTTGGTAGACGTAGAGTCCGTAACTTCTTTGATTCTTGTGATGTTAAGAACTCTACTCCTGCCTGACCTTTTTTTTTTGGGTCGAAATTCTTGCCTGACCTTGACTAATTGGTAATTGTGCTATGCTTGTGTTGAAACGGTTAGAACTAGCCCTAGCATCACAGACGCAGTAATGGCTCGACTTGCTCAGGGGACAAAGGTGCTCACAGAAGGAGGACAGGATAATGTATTTCAACATACTTTTGAGATTCTGCCGGGAGAGAAGCTCCTGATGGCATATGCTTGCCATCTATCCACTTCCACCGGTCCTGTCATTGGGACACTGTATTTGTCAAACAAGAGACTGGCCTTCTGTAGTGATAACCCTCTTTGCCAATACTCTCCCTCGGGGCAGCAACAGTGGATGTATTACAAGGTAACCTTTTTCCAATCTTCCTGTGATTGCATTTACTCTAGGATTGCCATTTCAAATTGTTAAGCACTGAGCTTTTGTCAGAATCATGATAAGTTCTCGATTCATTACAATTTTCATTGTAGAGGGATTGAATATCTTCACTAAGGGTGGGAACATGCAAATTATGCACTTTGATTTCAAGCCTTACAATAGCCTTCTCGACAAGCGTTTCACTCCTAAAGTATTGGACTTTGTGCTCGTGAAGTTGTACCCTGACGAGCTAAACACCGCGCCTCTAACTGCCGCAAGAGGAGCCTTTGGATGCATGGCTGCAGAGCTGGTCTATAATAACTTCGGGGGCGTCTCTTACAAGGCCGATGTCTGCAGTTTAGGCAAATAGTTGATGGAAATGGCTGATGAAAGGAAGAATCTGGATGCAGACCAAAGCATTCGAGCCAGATTTACTTTCCATCCTGGGTTTACAATTATCAAAGTGTGGTAAAGAACATTCAAGTGGAAGAAGTTAGTGAAGAGAATATGAAGATATTAAAGAAGAGGATAATAGTGGCTCTTTGGTGCATTCAGTTGTATCCTATCCATCGTCCTTCAACCACAAAAGTATTTGGAATGCTGAAGAAGTAGATAATCTACAAATGCCTTCCAAGCCATTCTTTTGTCCAACAGAAGCGTCAGCTGCTAGGGATCATGTTGGTACCGAGGCTGACGGACACATGGACACCATATCACCTTCAAAGTACTGCAATAATTTATCAATATACGCAGCTTGAGTATAGTAGTATTATTAGACGAGCATATGAGATATTCAAATCACTAAAAAAAATAGTTCAATGGGTTCTTCAACATATCCTTATTTGGTGTTAACAAGTTTCTTAAGTAATTAGCCCAAAATATCGTGGATGATGTCACAAAGTTATTTTACATATTTGAATAAAGTGTGTTATATAATGTTAATTACCATACTAATAAAAAGTGTGTCGTGTTTCTCCACTTTTCATGTTTCTAAATACACTTAGGATGCCAATCTGCCTTCTCAAGATGATACCGCGGTAATAAATATACATTACAGACCCAAAATGCTTCCACGTCATCTTTCTTCATCATACGCATTAGACGGCCGACTCGACAATGTTTTTGCCGAATCGCACAACAATCATGCATTGTTGACACCTATTTTTGATTTGCCCAAAATTAATTACACAAAATTTAGGAATTAATTTTCTTTAATTCCTAAAACAAAAAAATATTTCTATTTAAATGCATTGCATATAGGAATTAGGTATATTTGCATTAATAGGGCCTATTTGAGCATATTTTCTTAATTAATCCTTAAAAAAAAAAAACCGAGTCGGGCCGGGTCGGGGCTGGGCCGACCCGGCCCTTTTCTTTTTTCTTCCTTTCCCCCGGCGTGGGCTCGGCCCACTTTTCTTTTTCTTTTTCTTCCCGCGCGAGCTGGGCCCGGCCCGGCCCAGCTCCCTTCCTTCTTCCCCCTCGCCAAGCCGTCGCTCTCCTTCCCCCTGTTCTCCTCTGTCGCTGACGCAGAGGCGACGAGCGGCTGAGCGCGGCCGCCCCGTCCCCATCCGGCCAGAGCAGGATCGGGGCAGCACGCCACAGGGACTGGCCATTAAGGCCAGTCCCTTCTACCCCCGTTTCCCGATCTCTCTCTTTCTCTCTCTCTCTCCTTCTCCTCTCTGTCTCTGCACATTGAGCGGCCCCCCTGCTCTGCACCGGCCTGCCATAGCCACGAAAGTCGTGGGGTGGCGTAGGCCGGTGCAGGCCATCGTCACACGCCGACGCGGCCGGGCCCAGACTCGTCGTCGTCGGCTATGAAAGACAGAAAGAGAGAGAGGGAGACGATCGGCCATTTTTGGAGAAAAATACAGAGAGAGCGTGAGAGCGTGAGCCGGGAGAGACAGGGAGCCTCCGGCAGCCACCGCGCCTCATCCACCCATCCCCGCTGCCGAGACGACGGCGGCGACACAGAGAGAGAGAGTGGGTCGGCCGTTTTACAAAAAAAAACAGAACAGAGAGATCGTGGGAGAGAAAGAGAGGATTGGAGAAATTTTTTTTTGATCTTTGGTTTGCAGGTGGAAGAATACAGCCGCAGGGGTTCCTCAAACGAGCCAGAGTCGCCGACGATCCACCGAACCGACGTCGCCGGCTGGTTGGTCATTCTCGGCCAAAACAGAGCACCGGAAGAGAGAGAGAGACAGAGAGAGAAATCAGAGAGAAAGAAGGCATACCGAGGTTCCGCCGGAGCAAAAGAAGAACCAGCAGCGTCGCCGTCGTCCCCCGACCAGTCGGAAGCCTCCCAGACGCGCCGTAGACCGGTGAGTCGTCCCCCGGCCCGAACTGCTCTGTTCTCCCCTGTTTTTGCTCCCGGTTTGGCCGTGACCCGCGCCGGCCGTTTCGCGCGAGTCCCGGCCCATACCGCCGTCCCCCGCCGTCCGTGCATCATCGTTAAAGGTAAGAACAGGTTTCCCGAGGACGGCGGGGCCTCGAAACAGGTCGGAATCTCCTGTTTTTGGTCGCGCACGCCCGGTGTTCGACAAAATGCCTCAAAGAGACCGGTTTTTAATTCGGTCGCCGGCCGGCGAGCGGCGGTCAAACGGCGACCCAGGTGGACGGCGAGGCTTGGCGGTGTTCCTAGAAGCCGATTTGGGGGCACGGCGCTGGGTCGGCCGGCGGACGGCCAATTTTGGCCTCTCCGGCGCCCTCCCCGCCGGTGCAGTATGTTCGGGTCGGATTCGACCCGAATCAACAGATCCCGACCCGATCAACGCCCGGGTCGGATCCGTTGACTCGGGTCGGTTCCGACCGACCCGGATTAACAGATCCGACCCGGGTCAACGCCCCGGGTCGGATTCGTTGACCCAGGTCAACGCCCCGGGTCGGATCCGTTGACCCGGGTCGGATCCGACCCGACCCGGTTAATATTATATTATTATTTTATTTTATTTAAAAAAATTTAAAAAAAATAAAAATTTAAAAAAAATTAATTTTTTTTTCTTCTTCTGTATTATTATTATTATTTTTTCTTTTTTTTCGAAAAAAAAAATTAATAAAAAAAATCTTTTTTTTTTAATTATGTTATATCTTAATGTTTAATTTATGGTAGTATTATTATGCATAATTTACCATGTTTAAATTAGATAAGCCTAGGATTGCGCGGTAATATTTTGCATGTTAGTTTTTATTATCGTTGTATTATTATGCATGATTTTAATACAATCGCATGAGTTGTTGTGTTTTGAATGTCATCTGACTTAGTTAAGGTTAGAACCTTAGGCTGCATGCATTGTTGTGTTCCTGACTGCTAATCGTTTCGATTATGCACTCGACGATCACCTCACATGTTAGGAGAAAGGTCACAAAATCAATCCAAATTGCCGACAAATGTTTTGAAATGAACAGGGTAAAAGGTACAGAAAGGGCATTAGTTATCCAACTAGTGTAACCAAGTCCCCGAATTCAGTTAATCTCTGGTTCGTAGGAATAGGGTGATTCTCCCATCACCCTATTTGGGTTTCTAATCGGCCCACCCCAAATCGATTAGTGGCGACTCCTTGGTATAAACCACTTGCATGTTAAATACTTAAACCCTAAGTCGCGATATGGTATGGGCTTGGGAGGGCTCGAGTTAAGTCCCGAACCTAGACTTAGCACGTACCAGGCGAGCCCCCCTTTTTTGCATGTTGTTTAAAAAGGGCTCGGGAGTTCGGTCGCGACATGCATCATTGTTGCTGTTGTAATATTTAACTAACGCGGAACCTAACCCGGATCTTTCAAATTAAGTCAATGCGAAAATCACCAGAGAAATAACGAGGAATAATAAGAAGGCCAAAGTTTACGTGGTTCGATCCGACGTATTGATACCTACATGTGACATTCCGAATTTCGAGCCATTTTTGGGATTTATAAAACGTGTAATTCGTCAGTGTGCTTATATTAAAATCTCGCCCGGGAACTGATCACTCCCGGTTATTGTTTTTAAAATTGAGATTTCGCTAGAATCGCACTCGATCGAATTTGACCGTTATTTAGAACCCAAACTTTGGTGTCGAGTTTCTCGGGGTTTCGGGACGAATTTAATTGGATGGTGTCAATATTATTGTGGCCAACCTCGATGTTACCCGGGATATGGGAAAAGTAAATTTTTGACCGGGTACGAATGTGGACTGATAGACCTCTCTCGCGGTGTGTGTTTTTATTAATACCCTTTGGCCAAATCCTAAATTATTAATTAGGATTTTTCGGGGACCGTTAGATCGTTTTTGGATTCGAATCGTAGCCGTTGGATCGCAATTATCGCGATTTGACTATTCTCTCTCTCTCTCTCCTCCCTTCTTTTCCACGCCGGTCTCCCCCCATGCGTCTGACACCCCACCCACTCTCACCAGCCCCCATCATTTCCTCTCTTCTTCCTTTTCTTTTCTTTTCTTCTTTTTCTTTTCTTTTCTTCCCTTCTTCTTCTCCTTCGCTGGTCTTGCTTCTGCCGGCTTCTGCTTGTTGCTGCTGCTGCTTCTTGCTTCTTCTCACTGCGTCGCCGGCCATCTTCGCCGGGACCAGCTCCGCCGCACGCCGCCTTCCTGCCGCGAGCCGCCGCCATCCCGGCTTCCCTCTGGCCGAGCAGCTCCACACCGGCCACGTCCTCAGCCCCGTCGCTGGCCTGTCTCGGCCAAGCGCGAGCCGCGCCGCTCGCCGGCCCAGCCGCCGTCCGTCCACCGTCGCTCGCCACCGTTGTCCCCGCCGCCGGGACACCACCATCAGCCGCCGTTCAGCCCTTGAACCAGCCCCGCCCAGCCACCACAGCAGCTGTCTCCCCTCGCCACGCCCGTTCGCCGCTCACCGGAGCATTCCGAGGACACCGCGGACCGCCCTCGTCACCGCCGTCGTCCTCGCGTCGTCGCCGGCGTTAGCCGAGTAAGTTAACCCCTAATCCCGTGTTTAGGGTGTTAAACTTGCTTAGGGTAGTTGATTTAAGTTTATGGTAAATTAAGTGGGATTAGGTGATAGGTTATCGGTAATTATTTGATAGGCTATTGATGGGTTGCGATAAGCTATCGTGTAATTGTGATAAGTTATCAGTTATTTTATTGTTATTGATTATTTTATTAAATAAATTATTTTCGGAATTTAAATATTATTATATTATTTAATAAATTAATTCCGTATTAAATATTAATATTTTATTATTAATAATTAATTTTCGGAAATTAAATATTATTATTTTCGGAAAATTTCTAGCGTCAAATTGTGATGCCAATGTTGGTTTTCGCCGTATAAGTTGGCGTATTTAGAAAATGATTTGAATGATTTTTGATTCGAGGAAATATTTTGACATTTTGGAAAATTAAATTATTTTCGGATATTATTAATTAATTAATTCCGAATTTAATTTATTGTTATTTCGAAAATTTTATAATTTCAAATTATGATTTCTAGCTTGAATGTTGGCGATTTTGCTGCGAATTGTCGAATTAAATTGATTTTATGGCAAATTGTTTGATCGAAAGTTTCTGTGGAAAAATTTATGAGACTTTTGGAATTAAATTATTTTATTCTGTTATGCCAAGTAATGTTAGTGATGCTTGGTGGTTGATATTCGTGTTTGATATCGAAGCTTGTGAGAATTGATTGACTGCTTGCATGTGTGGCCACTTGGTATTATTGCATGACATTGAGGAGAGCACGATTCATGTATGCATGGGCTAATTGAGAAGATAATAATTGGCCGGAATGCTTGTGTGCTCGTGTGGTCACACGTTGGAGCCATCTTGCTGTGTATCGCTTGACGATGCCCGATTTATCGGATGCCTGGGGATTATCTGGAGTACCGATACCCCGGATGCCTTGTCGCGGCCTGAGGCCGGACTCGATGCTCCTTACGGGATACCATCTTACTGTGTATCGTTTGATGTTGCCGTATTGGAATGCCGTCATCCTGTGTATCGTTTGACGTAGCCGTGCCCGACGGGGCGGGACGGAGCCCGATTTTTACCGGTAGACCGCCATCTTGCTGCGTAACGCTTGATGTGTGGTGGCTCCGAGGGGGCGTAATAATTGGAATACGTGTGATGCATAGTGTTTGATTATGGGGTAGAAACTGCTAGGCATGGTATGGGACGTGCCCAAGCGGGTTTTGCCTTATAATCGAGACACGCGCGACTGTGTTGCATTAATGCATGGAAAATCTCGTTAAATGCTTCGAGTATGTGACATATGCATTTCATCAACGTGTGTACCAAGGCGAGGTGAGGATGCTTGTGGTTGTTAATGATGTTGTTGTTGCCGTTTCGCCTGTTTAGGGACCCCCGTGCGAGTTGGCCTTCTAAGCAGGGCTTAGGCCGTTAACTTATTGAGATTTTATCTCATTTGTTATTGTTAAACCTTTTTCAGGACCTTAGCTTGTCGTTGCTTCCTATGCGGTTTGGAGTACCGCAGTTTTTGGTTGGTCCTTGAGGGTTAGGCCTGGAAGCCGATCTTTTGGATGGAGTAGATTAACCCTAACCTTTGTCTTTTGCTGGCTTTTTCGAAAATGCCCGGAGTGGGCCTGTAAGTATGTTCCCAGGGGTTAATCAAGTGAATATTAAAATGGCTTTTGTTATGTCTGGTTTTTCCTCTGCTATCCCTGTTTATTATTGTTGTCCGGGGATTGTTGTGTTCACTTCCGCATGTGTACTAAAGGATAAAATGAAGGGTCGGCGACGGGTCCTGGGACGTCGCATTATAACGACCGTAGCGGGATGTCGTGCGCCCGCGGGATTCGGGGCGTGACACTACATCCACGGAGAGAGCCAGTAGCAAATAATTCATTAATAATCGAGAGAATTTAAGTTTAGAATCGCTCACAACGCTCGAGCATTTCTAACCTAAATTCAACCCAAACCCCAAGTGTTATACAAATAAACAACTCATATGGATAAAATTACTCACAGTACAAATCTCCGGGTTCATATTCGTGGAACCAAGTGTGAGATTTTGGTGGGATCACTGCCAACTATTCTAAAAGCTTAAGCTGTTAGATGAATGCATGATTTAATATTTAATTATTCTAACACTCTCCTCACGCTTAATCTGGTTTTTTTACCTAGTACTAAGCGTTGACATATTTAATTAGGGAGGCAAATAGGGACTGGAAGATTTGAACTCAAGATCTCCTACTTTGATATCATGTGAGATTTTGGTGAAACCATTGCTAACTATTCTAAAAGTTTAAGTTGTTAGATGAAGGTGTGGTTTAAACATTTAATTACTCTAACGCCGAGAACGAAGAACATCGTGCGCGGCCTAAACTTCTTGAAGAGAACTCATGGCATCCTTCACTGTTCTTGTTCTTCGTGCGGCCACTGTTCATCCACTGAGGACTCTTCACTGTGCGGCTACATTTTTCAAGAGCAGAGCCGAGAGAGAAGACCCACTTCTGCTTTCTTGCTCCTCTTGTGCGGCTACTCACCAGGATAGGATAACCTAGGATTTTTTTTGAAGTATCCCTCTGGGCGACTATAACTAAAAAAAAAAATAGGGGTACGTTTGGCAATCATTCTATTTTCGAAAATAATTTCTGTTCAGAAATGATTTTCTTTTATTCCGTGCTCGGGAACAATTTCTAAGCATTTGAAGGTATTTGGTAATTACTCAAAATTTCTATCCTTGGAATAGAAAAAGAACAGAAATGCGTTTGGTAACTGCACAAAATTTCTTTTTATTAATAATATTTTAAATTTTTAAATATTTCTTTCCTTTTTTTTTTTTCTTCTTCCCCTTCCTCGGCCATGGCCAAGTCGCCGGCGCCGGCGACCGGCCACAGGCCAAGGCCGACGAGGGCGTCATGAGGGCCACCCTTGTCGGCTCCGACGAGGTCGCCGCCTAGGCGAGGGCCGCCCTCGCCACATCTGGCAAGGGCTGGACCCTCACCGTCGCAGTCGCCAGATCTGACAAGGGCAGTTAGTGGCCGGGGCGAGGGCCGCCCTCGCCAGATCCAAGGTTGCCCTTGCCCAGGCCGTGAGCAGCCCTTGCCGGATCCTGCGAAGGCGGCCCTTGCCCAGGCCGCGAGCCACCCTTGCCGAATCTGGCGAGGGCGGCCCTCACCCAGGTGGCGAGGGTCCAACCTTCGCCCTTGCCGGTGTCGCCCATGCCAAATCTGGTGAGGGCGGCCCTCGCCCAGGTGGTGAGGGTCTAGCCCTCGCCCTTGCTGGCGAGAGCCGCAATGCCCTCGCTGGCGACCAGCCACAGGCTAGGAAGAAGAAGAAGAAAAAAAAAAATTCTTTTCCATTTCAAAATCTTGTTTTCAAAATTAAGAAGTAACTTTTTTTTGCTTCTTGATTCTGTTCCAAAACTGATTTTGGGAATAATTTTTTGTAAATTTGTGCCCGGGAATAAAAAATTTATCAAACGGATTTCTGTTCCAAAACTGATTCTGGGAACAAAAAAAATAGAAATAATTACTGTTTAGTCGGTTGCCAAACGTGCCCTAGAGCAGCTAAAGAATAGAAAACCCTATATCTCTTTTGTTTTGTTCTGTCTCGTCTTGGCTCAGATATGGGAGCCCACGTCCAATGAGTCAACAGCCTATGCTTGCTTTGACTTGGATCTACCACATAACCATATAAATATTACACAAAGAAGCGAGGCCCTTCCTATTGTCTTTTAGCGTGTGAGTTTGGATTCCACTAACGACTAGAACTCGAAACATAATTTAACAGTTGCTGAACAAGCGAATCTCATCATCAATAAGTACATGACCTGTCAATCTAGTTTACAAGAGTATTAAATTAGTCCAATCTTAAGGGGTTCATATACCACCATAAACTTTATTGATTTACTAATATTATTTATATGTTAGATCGATTTACTAATTTTATAATCATTTGCATTGATATTTCATTTTGTGGAAAATCTGATAACCAAATCAAAGAAGGGAAAGTAGAGTCTTCCAATTATGATTTCAAATGCATCTCTCTCTCTAGTTGCTTGTAACTTCATCGCATATGATTCATGTACATCTTCCATAAATAAAAAAAAAGTGACCTCACCACGTGCAGCGCACATGACATTGTACCAGTATGTAAGAGAAGCCACGGACCATGTTACACCCGAAAGTAGAATTTGAAAATTATAAAAGTCGAGATTTCTAATAAAAAAAAGAATAAACATGGGAAAAATTTATTGTTTTAATAAGATATATTTAACATCTTCAAGATTAAAAAAAAACAAATTATTTTCAAACCAAATGCATAACGCGTCTCCGGCTACAAGTAAAGGTCACGTATTATTCGCTTCCCAAGATTTAAGGAATTATTGTTTATGCGTTTAGCGTTTTGCTGTTGCTCTTTATTTCCCCCTTTCGTCTTGCAGGCCGGCCAAGGTCGATTGAATCTTTTAGTTTCGTCGCCGCCAGTGCATAAATGTCTCCATTTGTGCTTGTCTCGCACGTTGCCCGGTTTTTATATTCCCAAATCACTCACCTCCACACAATTAGATGTGGTCGGAGATTGTTCGCTCTCTCTGTTGATAAATACACTCCTCATTATTTCATCTCAACACTAAACACTCTGATTTTGCTTATTTGATGAGTGCTCTCTCCTATTGCATAAGCTATGCACAAAGATCAACTCCTTTTTCTTCTTCTTCTTCTTCTACTAATTCTACCTCGGTCTTTTAGTATTGCCGTTGAAAATAATCGGTGCACCACCTTTTGTGGCGAGGTCGCCAACATAAGCTACCCATTTCGGCTGAGAGGCGACCCGAATGTCTGCGGCGACCCTAACTATGAGCTAGCCTGCATAAATAACCGCACTGTTCTCGATTTGTACTCGGGCAATTACTATGTACGGTATATCGACTATACCAACTACACGATTAGGGTTGCTGATGTCGGGCTGCAAAAGGGCAATCGCTCGTCTCTCCCTCTCCGCTCTTTGTCGTGTGGCTACTTCAGCTACAAACCGGATCGGTATAGATGTGGGGGATACACGTTCAATAGTCGAGAGTTATCCAAGACTGTTTCGATTGTGAATTGTACGAAGGCCGTTGGCTCTCGGTTTTACATTGACGCTTCGTCATGCCTTGATGGGGTCGAATTTTCAATTTTTTCTTGTACAAGAAGTCGATTATATATCATGGTCGATGCAAATGTGTCGAATGTGAAAACTGCATGCACTATAGAACTTATGGCAATGATACCATGGTGGGCTGATGGCGACAATCTTCGTTCCTATGCGCAAATTCATGATCTGATGGTTTATGGGTTTGAGCTTTCATGGCATCCAATCGCCTGTAAGATTTATTGCAAAGATTATAATGTGTGCGACATTAACGACAAGCACCAAATTCAGTGCAGAAACAAGAAAGGTAAGGATTTTTGAGTTAGTTCAGTTTCCTTAAAAAATAAAATATATTGCGAGGATATATTTGGTCAAAAACCTGTGAAATTTCATCTAAACGTGAATTTGAGCTTGGTCATCTGTATATCCTTCCAATGCCCACGTTGTGGTATTTTATAAGTATAGCAATGACTACATTTATATTCATTTATTAATTTAAGTAATTCGAATTCCGCCAGTAAATCTTATTGGATTGAACTTGATATACTCAATTACTCATTGCTTGATTGTGATCTAAATAAGTATCTTTTATATTCTTCAGCTTTCACTTGTCACATATTCTTTATCTTTTGCAGATGAAGGTGGCTTCGATTTCCTCACCGATATCGGCCAATCTATTGAAGTGATCATGCGAAGAGGCATCGGTAACATTAATACAATCTTCTCATTGTGAAATCAAGTTAGTGTTTCTAAATGAAAACACTTAACACACCCACAATTTGGTTATTCGTATAACAATAAATACATTATATATTCATTTCTTTATCTATTTAATTCGAATTCCGCCCACAAATCCTAGTGGATTGAATCAATATACTCATTGCTTGATTATGGACTAATAAGTATCTTTTAAATTTTCTTCAGCTGTCACTTGTTACAAATTCAATCTCTCTTGCGTAATAGGGATCAGCCATTACCTCGATGCGATGCTCTTGCTCTTTGGCATTGGTAACATTACTACATCTTCTCATTGTAAAATTGACTTTATATTTCTAAATGCAAACATTTAACACACCCACAAATTGGTTATCGAAAATACAGTGTTTCCGTGCATGGTTGTGAAATTCATCTTGGGAGCCCCATGCATGATGATGTTGCTAATACGCAAATGGAGGGGAAAACACTTAGCAATGGATCAAAACGTTGAAGAATTTTTACAATCTAATAATAACTTCTTGCCGATAAGGTACTCTTATTCAGACATCAAGAAAATCACAAGGGGTCTTAAGGAAAAACTAGGCGAGGGAGGGTACGGTTCCGTGTTTAAAGGAAGAATCCGGAGCGGTCGTGAGGTGGCGGTCAAAATTTTGAAGAAGGGAAAAATGAACGGGCAAGACTTCATCAGCGAAGTGGCTACCATTGGAAGAATTCACCATGTTAATGTGGTTGGACTCATAGGGTTCTGCTTTGAGGGCTCGAAACAAGCTCTTGTTTACAATTTCATGCCCAATGGGTCTTTGGATAAGCACATTTTCTCACGAGAAGAGCGGACTTCTCTCGATTGCAAAGAAGTGTACAAGATTGCTCTCGGAGTGGCTAAAGGGATTGAGTATCTTCATCGAGGATGTGACATTCAAATTCTACACTTTGATATTAAGCCTCAGAATATCCTTCTCGACGGGGATTTCACCCCAAAAGTTTCCGACTTTGGGCTTGCTAGGTTGTATCCTACAGACTACAATACCGTGTCTCTAACTACTGCAAGAGGAACCTTGGGATACATGGCTCCGGAGTTGGTCTTCAAGAACCTTGGGGGCGTCTCTTACAAAGCTGATGTCTATAGTTTCGGCAAATTGTTGATGGAAATGGCCAGTGGGAGGAAGAATGTGGACATGATTGTAGAGTGTTCCAGTCAGATTTACTTTCCTTTATGGGTTCATGACCAACTTAGTGAAGGATTGGATGTTCCGGTGGAAGAAGTAAGTGAGGAGAATAGGAGAATAATAAAGAAGATGATAATAGTTGCTCTTTGGTGCATACAATTGAATCCTAACGAACGCCCCTCGATGTACAAAGTCTTGGAAATGCTCGAAGGAGAAGTAGATGATCTACAAATTCCTCCCAAGCCACTGTTTTGTCCAACAGAAATGTCAACAAGGGATGATAGAACTTGGACTGACAATGGCAAAGATACTATACCCACTTCATCGACTAGTGAAATAACTTATGACGATTATCAATTTGAGCATACTAGCACTAGTATCACACAAGTATAGAGTCATGTTAATAAAATTTGATCCTCATATGTGGCAAATAGAAACGGGTCATATTGATGATGTAGGTGTTCTTTTGATGGCCATTATATGTTTATAACTATGTTTTTGAATCTTAACTGTGAGTGTATCATCTTTAGCATTATCATATTAATATTGTCATTAATTGTAATTTGGACTATCGGTTCGAATAGTAAACCTAGTGACGATTTTTAAGGTAGTCCTACGAGAAGCGAGTTTGGGTTTAATTTCTAACATGACCATTCTATTTACGAAGAAGAAAGAATAGAATGGTGAGTTGCATCATTTACAATTTCTCTGTTTTTGGCCTCCAAAAATTACAAAGAGCACTTTGCGGTAACAGTTTCCTTGATTTTGGGATACAAAGAGAAATAACAAAAAGTTAAAGTTGACAAAATCCGGAATAACAGAAAGAACGCGTTTATCGTTTATCCCCGTGATCTTGTCGAGATCTCCCTCCTCATTTCTAAATTCCATCTCCACTCTCTTCTTCTTGCGCTATAGTTTCTCGACACTTGCGCGAGAGAAGAAGACGAAGACGAAGAAGAAGGTGATGAGCGGCCAAGGCGAATCAGCAGCGACACGTGCGTGGTGGGAACGCCGGTGGAGCCCCGGGCGCATCCCGTGAACCAGCACGCCGCCACCTGGATTGCCGGCGAGGCTCGCCCTGCAAGCTTCCCCTCCAGCTATTTGAATGCCACCCCGAGTGGCTCGGCCTCTGGCAAAGCAGCGGCGAGGACCCGTGCGTCCACGTCGCTCCGATGAATGCCTCCGCACCGTCTGGCAGGAGTGAGTCTATGCGTATTTTCGAGTTTGAAGTTTGTGTTGTGGTTGATGATTAGGCTTTTGAGAATGGTGTTGATGAGGCCGACGCTTTGCTGGTGTTTGCAGGTCCGATGAACAAGATATTCGACGTGCTGGACAGGTGTGGGAAGAGGTTCTAAGATGCTACGCGAAAAGCAGAGGCGCTCGCGGACAATGTCTGGCATCACTGTGAGTTTTCTCTACATTTTGTCTCGCTAAACAAGTCTGTAAAATCAGATAGAAACATTTTGGATTTATCCGTGGAGACGAATCTGATTGACTATTGCTTGCTTGTATATATATCTTCTCTGTTTCTGCAATCTATGCGAATGCTTTTGGAGTAATCATTCAGTCCAAGCAGTTTGGCTATTTGTTCTGAATTTACTGCGTTTGTTTAGCACGGCGGCCTCACAACATTCCGGTCCTATGGTTTTGGAAATCAGTTCAAACGATCAGTCATCGGCTTCTTTTGCAATTACCACCTAGGAACTAAGATACTTGCTTTATAATCGGTGCATTTAATCCGCCAATTAGCAGTTGAGCGGATCAAATCCCGTGATTATTTTTCTAGAGGAGCTTCAACTTTAATGTGCAGTGCTATCTTCGGTGCGTATTCTTACATCACCAGATAAGTCACAAACTTCCCAAGTCATGATTACACGGAATGATGGCAAATGGGCTGTTTACATGGCCATGCCCGTTATGCAGTCAAAAGATGAGTCTCTCGAGAATGGAAAATACATGTAATTTTGGCTAGAAGGGGTCGAATATCTTCGTCAAGGATGCGACGTGCAAATTCTACGCTTTGATATAAAGCCTCGCAACATTCTTCTCGACAGAGATTTCACCCCAAAAGTTTCCCACCTCACGCTCACGAGATTGTATCCCACGGAATACAACACCGTGCCTCTAACTGCTGCGAGAGTAACCTTGAGATACATGGCTCTAGAGCTAGTTTATATGTGACATCCAAAATTTTCTATATTAGTTAACAACAATTTAGGATATAAACATAATAAATAATTCATCTGGGGTTTTGAATGGCATGTGTGAAATCTCAGTTGGATTATTAATTAGGTACTCATAGAAGCTGAAAGGGTTAACATGTCATATATGGACTGAGATGCAAGTACTTGAATCGTGTAGGATACATGCCTTAAGGTGATCGAAATATTCTATTATGAATATGTAAATAATTGAAGAATAAGTTCAATTTATGTAGTACTCTAACCAAATGAGGGATTGAGATTTCCTAAATTATAGTGGCTCCACGAAATGATATGTGATATTATTCATTGGTTGTTATGATGTTGTTGTGCTTCCAGGTTAAGTGGTAAGATTATCTCCTATTTTAGACCTAAAGAGTTCATTTACTAAGCTTATACTCACCCCAATATATTTTACAGATTGTTCAAGTTCGGAGTTCATGGGCTTTTAGATTAACGCTTCTGAAGATCACTTGTAAGGATTGGATCAAAGTGGGCAATGAAAGTGGAGACATGTTTTTGTAGAGAAGATTTTGATGTATATTAGCTGAGGTTAAATTATTTGTATGATTGATGATAAATTAGTTATTCATTGGACAATTAAAGTGAAGTTTGATTATTTATTCATTCGAGGTTCAGATTGCATGAAAAATTTCAAGTCACGACGCTATAAGAACCTAGGGGGCGTTTCTTACAAAGATGTTGTCTATAGTTTCGGCAAAAAGTTGATGGAACTGGCCAATTGGAGGAAGAATGGGGACGTGGTTGCAGAGTGTTCTAGTCATTTATTTTCCTTTATGGGTTCATGACCACCTTAGTGAAGGATTGGACATTCCAGCAGAAGAAGTTATCGAGGAGGATAGGAGAATAGTAAAGAAGATGGTGCATACAATGGAATCCTTGTGAACGCACTTCGATGCACAAAGTCTTGAAACTGCTAGAAGGAGAGGTGTAGACAAAATGCCCAAGCCACTCTTTTATCTAGCAGAAATGTCAACGAGGGATGACTGAACTTGGACTGACGAACGCAAAGATACCATATCCCCTTCATCAACTAGCGCAATAACTTACAAAGATTCTCATTTTGAGTATGCTAGTAATAGTATTACTCAAGTATAAAGACATCTGATCATGGCCATCTTCTAGTTGTATATATGACTATATTTATGGGCGTTAATTATGCCTCTATCATCTTTAGCATTATTAGTTTAAAGATTTCATTAGTTATATTTTGGCTTTCGAATCCGCCGGAAAAGCTAATGACAACCTTCAACATAGTGTTAAGAGGAGCAAGTTCGGGTTTCGGAGTCTTTGCTTCAAAACACAACTCGCACACAACCAGCACTAGGCGGGGGTCCACGACAATTTAGTGGAGCAAAATACCCGTTTCGATAGTTCATGACCCGTCATCGTTCTTTTCGTTAATAACTTACTAAATCCTTTATTAGTACACTTTAAATAACTTACTAAAGTGTTTTGCCACTTTAAATATGAACTGAGCAGGAAAGCGAGTGTTCAGAATGACCCGGAAAAGATGGATGAGCTTTTTGCTGGAGCTTCTTTGAATTTTGACCCAATATGGTCGATGATGATGACACCTGGTTTGCACCTTCCCCAGATACTCTTCTACGAGCTTTTCCAGGATGGTTCGCAAGCCATGAGCTTTTGACTTTTTGTCCGATCTTCGGTTGCTCATCTACGCACGTTAATCGAATTTGATAATAATTTCGCAGTGCATTATTGCCTCGAACGAACACCGGCTCTGACTTTTCAGCCGACCATTACCAAATCTCATACGTCCCATTATTGTTGGTCGCTACACCCCAAATCACTCACCTCCACACAATGAAGTTTGTAGTCGGACATTGCTCCTCTCATCTCCACACTAAACACCCTGAATTTTGCTGAGTTGATTCGTGCTCTCTCCTATTGCATAAGCCATGCACAAAGATCAGCTCCTCCTCCTTCTTCTTCTACTTCTACCTCGGTCTTTTAGTATTGCCATTGAAAATAATCAGTGCACCACCTCTTGTGGCGAGGTTGCCAACATAAGCTTCCCGTTTCGGCTAAAGGGCGACCCGACGGTTTGCGGTGATCCTAATTATGAGCTAGCCTGCATAAATAACCGCACCGTTCTCGATTTGTACTCGGGCAAGTACTATGTACGTTCCATCGACTATACCAACTACACGATTTGGGTTGCTGATGTCGGGCTACAAAAGGGTGATTGCTCGTCCCTTCCTCTTCGCTCTTTGTCGTGCCATAGCTTCTGGCTCCATCCGAATTCATATGAATGCGGGGATTACACGTTCTATGGTCGAGAGTTATCCAAGACCGTTTCGATCGTGAACTGCTCAAAGGCTGTTGCTTCTCAATTTTACATTGACACTTTGTCGTGCCTTGATGGGGTCAAATTTTCGAATTTTTCTAGTACAAGAAGGCGATTATACGCCATGGTCGATGCGAATGTCTCGTATGTGGAAACTGCATGCACTATAGAGCTTATGGCAATGATACCTGGGTGGGTTGATGGCGATGATCTTCGTTCCTATGCCCAAATCCATGAACAGATGGTTTATGGATTTGAGCTTTCATGGCTTCCAATTGTCGCTGAGATGCATTGCAAACATCGTTATTGGGACATCATCGGCAAGCACCAAATTCGGTGTGGACCCAAAAGTAAGAACTTTTGAGTTTGTTCAGTTTTCTCAGATAAAAAAAGAACTTTGTGAGGACATATCTGGTCAAAAACCTGTAAAATTTCATCGACACGTGAAATTGAGCTCTAGTTATCGGTATATCTTTTCAGAGCCCATGTGATTTGAAAATGCCCATTAAGATCGAGTAGTTAGTTAAATGCTATTGTGGTATTTTTTTACATATAACAACAAATACATTTTCATTCATTTGTTTATTTATTTAATTTGAATTACGCCAACAAATCTGAGTGGATTGAACTGAAATACTCATTGCTTGATTGTTGTCTAAATAAGTGTATTTTAGAACGCTGATAAGGCATACGGCTCAGTGGTTGGGAGGGGTGGGGATGCTCAAGTCGGGTGTTCAATCCCCAGCAGAACGCTCTCTCTAAAGCTTTCACTTGTCACATATCTAATCTCTTTTGCAGGAAATACTATCGTCGTCGCTGTCCTCTTAGGTATCGCCTGGTGTATTGAGATGGTCTTGTACTATGGCATCGGTAACATTACTACAATCTTCTTATTATGAATTGATTTGATGTTTCTAAATGCAAACGATTTAACACACCCACAATTCTCTTGCGTTTTCCCCAAATACAGCGCCATTCATAGCGGTGAAATTCATCGTGGGAGCCATGTGTGTGATGATATTGCTAATACGCAAATGGAGGAGAAGACATTTAGCAATGGATCACAACGTTGAAGAATTTTTGCAATCTAACAATAACTTCTTGCCGATAAGGTACTCTTATTCGGACATCAAGAAAATCACGGGCGGCCTCAAGGAAAAATTAGGCGAGGGAGGGTATGGTTCCGTATTCAAAGGAAAACTCAGGAGCGGCCACGAGGTGGCGGTCAAGATTCTGAAGAAGGGGAAAGCGAACGGGCAAGACTTCATCAGCGAAGTGGCTACCATCGGAAGAATTCATCATGTTAATGTGGTTGGACTCCTTGGATTTTGCTTCGAAGGCTCCAAACAAGCTCTGGTCTATGATTTCATGCACAATGGGTCTTTGGATAAGCACATTTTCTCACGAGGAGAGAGGACTTCTCTTGATTGCAAGGAAGTGTACAAGATTGCTCTCGGAGTGGCTAGAGGGATCGAGTATTTTCATCGAGGATGCGACGTACAAATTCTACACTTTGATATTAAGCCTCACAACATTCTTCTCGACAGGGATTTAACTCCAAAAGTTTCCGACTTTGGGCTCGCAAGATTGTATTCCCCTGACCACAACACCGTGTCTCTAACTGCCGCGAGAGGAACCTTGGGATACATGGCTCCGGAGCTAGTCTACAAGAACCTTGGGGGCATCTCTTACAAAGCCGATGTCTATAGTTTCGGCAAATTGTTGATGGAAATGGCCAGTGGGAGGAAGAATGTAGAGGCTGATGCTGAGTATTCTAGTCAAATTTACTTTCCTCTATGGGTTCATCATCAACTTAGTGAGGGATCGAAAGTTCTAGTGGAAGAAGTTAGCGAGGAGGATAAGAGAATAGTTAAAAAGATGATGATAGTTGCTCTTTGGTGCATACAATTGAATCCTAGTGATCGCCCGTCAATGCGTAAAGTCTTGGAAATTCTCGAAGGAAAAGCAGATGATCTACAAGTACCTCCCAAGCCACTCTTTTACCCAACGGAAATGTCAACAAGGAATGATGGAACTTGGACCGACAAAGGCAATGATACTATATCCACTTCATCAACTATTGCAACAACTTATGAAGCTTTTCATCTTGACCATACTAATACTAGTATTACACAAGCATGGATAAATATCAATAGCATTTAATCCGTTCACATTTGTGGCAAACAGAATCGGCTCGTATTAATGATGTTTTATGTGTAGCTCCCCTTTCATGGCCATCATGAGATTGTATGTATCTGTGACTATTTTAATGGATCATATTTACGATTGTATCATCTTTAGCATTTTCATATTAATGATGTCATTAGTTATATGGACTTTGAGATCAGATAGAAAATCTAGCGATGACTTCTAGCATAGTCTTGTGAGGAGCGAGTTTGGGTTTCAGAGTTTTTGCTTAAATACTAACTAGCACACAACCCACGCTACATGACTTCTTGGCACTCCAGTGGTCAAAATGTACATGTCGCTTCATGGCATACCATTTGTCGATTCGAATAAAAATGACAGATGAAGAGAAATGATAAAATTTAGGAGAGATGATAAATAACAACTTCGGTGTAAAGAAGGGAGAGTGTGAGACATTTACCTATGCAATAAATAGGGGAGATTTTTGTTGACTTTTTGTTTTATCGAAAATCGCTTAAAAATTTAATCAGAGAATAAAATGGGACATCAAAAGATGACCTCTCCGTTAAAAACATTAATAGATTGGATTAATTAAATTCTTATTTCTTTTACTAGGTTGCTAAGGTTATTTAGTGGTAAAGTGGTAAATGTGCTCTTAAAAATGATGTAAGTTTTTCTTTCCAGGTTCATTGTCTATGGCTATTTCGGGTAAATTACGACCCATAAAATTACAATTGTAAACAAGTTATGACTATTATAGGTAAAATTACAACTCATAAAGTTAAGTTACTACCTACAAGTGCCACCAACTTTATGATAATTTCAGGTAAATTACGACAAGTTCCGGGAAATTATGGCTAAAAGTGGGATAGCTCCCGCTATTTTGCCTACGGGACCTAGAAGCACCCATAATTGATATCTTTCAGACCTACACAAATGTCCTATTTTGAATTTCCGATTGATGCTAAGTGGACCTCATGAGAAGGTTTTAGTGATAAAGAATCCATTGACAAAATCTCATTCCGAGTAATCATACATGACATATCAGTATTCAGTTTTAGTTATTTGGGCTGCTTCACACTTTAATTTAGATTCACATGCCTCTAGGCCTCGTGTTTTTGTTCAAGGCCTAGGCACCAGAGTCTAATCCCTGAGGTCTCGGGCTTGGGAGCTGGAATCCCAAGTTCATCCCGACTATCATGTGCTCAACCCTTGAGTCTCCGTCCCGTCCTCAGTCCTCGTCGTGCCAAGCTTAAGCACTAGGATCTCGATTTCGGGCATTGGGGTTTCCAGGCTGTCCTGGAGGTCTTGAGTCGAGGCCTTAGGATCTCGGGTGTTGGGGACTTGAGATGACATTCCCCTCCTCGCACAGTTAGCGATAGCAAGAAGTAATGGACTTAAGACTATTCGATGATGGAGCATAATTATGATGAAGGTGGAAGTCAATTAAAGGTTGTTAGGTAACTCCTTATTATATTTCAAAGAAATCCCATCATATGAAATATTCCAGCTACAACAATAGTCCTTTTTTTCTGAATGAAAAGCTTAGGAGTAGAATTTTTATTCTTCAAGTAATTCAATTTTACCGGAATCAAACAGCTAAACAAGGCCTAAAGCAAACCTCCCAAATCGTAATAAACAGCTAATGCAAGTCTCTCATTCTGACTTGGGAGGTAAGGAATGGAGAAAGTAACTTGTTTTCGACAGTTCATAGCCCATCATCCTTCTTTTCGTAAGTAACTTGTTACTATTTTCATTGGTACACTCCGAGTTATGAATTAAGCACAAAAGTGAGCGAATGTGTTACAGAATGACCAGGAAAAGACGGACGCGCTTGTTGCTGGAGCATCCTTTGAATTTTGTGACCCATCATAATCGATTATGATGACACCTGATTTGAACCTTCCCCAAATTTTCTTCCACGAGCTTTTCCAGGATGGTTCGCAACGCGTGATCTTTTTTAACTTTTTCTTCCGATTCTCTATTGCTCGTTCTCCGCACGTTGATCAACTTTGACTTATCAGCTGACGAGTCCCACACTTGTCTTGTTCTATCTTCCGTCAATCATATCTGTTAGGCTACCCACAAGTCATTCGCTTCGCAATAACGTACACGGAGTTGGAGATTTATTCGTCTTTGTGAGATGGACCAACCCTTTATATCTATTTTTTTTTTCTAAATAGGGCAACTGACAAGAGGCTGTATCATCTTCAAAAACCTTGCTCCTTTGTTTTTTTTTTTTTTTTTTTTTGATAACCCAGGAACCCCCCGCACGACCGACAGCCGGAGGGGTAAACCTGGGGTGACGCTAGCGCAGGACCCACCACCACGGCGCCACACTTAAGAATCCCTAACGACTAGGCTGGGGTTCGAACTCTGATCTCTTCGTGGGGGGACTAGAGCGCAAGCCAACGCAGCCGCTGCGGGCGGTGGTAACCTTGCTCCTTTGTTTATACTAGCTTTCCCATCCAATTCAATTCGTGACTTGAAAATGGCCATTTCCCTGTAATTTCAGTTGATTTAATTCTTCTTAATTGAAACCCTTTGCAAGTGCTTGCAACAACATTGCAATGCTATAAAAAACTTGCCCTCGTTCTTGTTATTCTTTTATGACGGCAGTGTCGCTGCGGAAAATCACCTCATGTGGCAATGTTATCAACGTAAGCTACCTATTTCAACTAAAAGGCAATCCAAGGAGCTGCAGCCACCGGAAATATGAGCTAGCCTGTGAAAATAATCACACTATTTTGAATTTATTCTCAAGTAAGTACTACGTGCAGTGAATTGACTACAAAAACCAAAATCTGGCTAGTGATATTGGGCTACAAAAGCATAATTGCTCGTCTCTTCCTCTCTGCTCTTTGTTAGGTCGTAACTTCAGCGAAGGTTTGAACCCATATAATTGTGGGAGCTACGATAGATATAACAGCTCCACATTTTCCATGACCGTGGTAGTCATGAACTGTGCAAAGACCATCATTCTCCTCACATATTTACACATTTCCAATCAAATACCAAAATATAATTATTCAATCAAGTACAGAACTCTATAGAACTCTTCAAAATTGACTCAATCCATTACTTCTGTTAAAAAAAAAAACAGTGTTAGCTGATGTGGCCAATTTTTTGCTAAATTGCCATTAGTCTTACACTTAGGACATTAAGATGATACCACGTTAGCAAATTATATTAGACGACCGAGATGCTTCCACATCATCTTTCTTCATCCTACACATTAGACGGCCAACTTGGGGGGAGGGGGGCTCAATACTCAGCAAAAATTATGCCAAGTCAGCAAAAATTATGTTGAACAACTCGTTTATCAAATATATAAATGTATATATTTCGATGGCAGGTTGATGGTGGTTATGCATATGATTGCGTCCTTCGTATGAAAGGATGGCCGTGTCAATATCCCTTTTCTTATAGAGTCATAGGTGTGACAACTTAAATGCCACCCCCAGCGATTCTGCCTCTGGCTTCCTCAACCTCACCAAAGCAGCAGCGAGAATGCCTGGTGAATGCCTCCATGTCGTCTGGCAGGAGGGAATCTATCGAGGCATATTTTCATGTTGGAAGTTGTGTTATGGTTGATGATTAGGCTTTTAAGAATGGTGTTGATGAGGCCAACGCAATGCGTTGCTGGTGTTTGCAAGTTCGATCAACAAGATATGCGACACGTTGGACTGGTGGGGGAAGAGGTTCGAAGATGCTAAGTGAAAAGCAGAGGCGCTCACAACATTGCGGTCTTGTGGTTTTGGAAATCAGTTCGAATGATCAGCCATCGGCTTCTTTTGGAATTACCACCGAGGAACTAAGATACATGCTTCATAATCTGTTGTATTCAATCCGCCAATTGGCAGTTGAGTGGGTCAAATCTCGTGATTACTTATCTAAGAGGAGCTTGAACTTCGATGTGCGGTGCTGGTGCTATCTTCTGTGGCAATAGCATAGTCCAATACTGGCTACTAAGGTTCCGTCTGAGTTAATCAATCTCATCTCCTATTCTGACTTGGAGATATGGAGGAAAATAACCTCTTCAACAGTTCATAATCCATCATCGTTCTTTCTATTAGCAACTTACTAACATTTTTATTAGTACACTTTGAGTTATGAATTAAGCACAAAAGTGACTGTTCAGAATGACCCGGAAAAGATGGACGTGCTTGTTGCTCGAGCATCTTTGAATTTTGTGACCCATCAAAGTCGATTATGATGACACCTGATTTGAACCTTCCCCAAATTTTCTTCCACGAGCTTTTCTAGGATGGTTCGCAACGCGTGATCTTTTTTAACTTTTTCTTCCGATTCTCTATTGCTCGTCTCCGCACGTTGACCGACTTTGACTTATCAGTTGACAAGTCCCTCACTTGTCTTCTTCTATCCTGGGAGATGGACCAACCCATTACTTTGATTCCAAATAGGGCAACTAACAAGATGCTATATCGTCTTCAAAAATTTTGCTCATTTGTTCATACTAGCTTTCCGATCCAATTCAATTCGTGACTTGAAAATGCCCCTTTGCTGTAAAGTCATTTGATTTAATTTCTTCTTAATTGAAACCCTTTGCAAGTGCATGCATCAAACATTGCAATGCTAAAAAAACTTGTCCTTGTTCTCGTCATTCTTTTACGCGGGGTAGTGTTGCCGCAGAAAATTCACTTCATGTGGCAACATTACCGACATAAGTTACCCATTTTGACTAATAGGCGATCCGAGAGCTGTGGTCATTGGAAATACAAGCTAGCTTGTGAAATAATCGCACTGTTTAAATTTGTTTTCGAGAAAGTACTATGTGCAATAAATTGAATTCAAAAACCACAATCTGGCTCGTGACATTGGGCTGCAAAAGGTGTAAATGTCCGTCTCGTCCTCTCAGCCCTTTATTAGACGGCCGAGATGCTTCTACATCATCTTTCTTCAAACTACACATTAGACGTCCAAGTTGGGGGGCAGGGAGGCTCATTACTCAGCAAAAATTATGCCAAGTCAGCAAAAATAATGCTGAACGGCTCTTTTATCAAATATATAAATGTATATATTTCGATAGCTAGTTAATAATGATTATGTTTAAGGTTGTGTCTTTCTTATGGAAGGATGACCGTGTCTTTGCCCATGTTCTTGTAGAGCTGGGGGTGTGACAACTTGAATGCCCCCGCGAGCAACTCGGTCTCTAGCTTTGTCATATGTGACCAAAGTGGCGGTGAGAAGCCATACATCCACGTCTCTCCGGTGAATGGTTCTGCACCATCTAGGTTTGAAGATCCTACGCGAAAAGCAGAGGCGCTCGCGGACAATGTCTGGCATCACCTTGAGTTTTCTCTACATTTCTTCTCGGTAAACGTGTCTGTATAATCGGATAGAAACATTTTGGATTTATTCATTGACGTCATTTGTCTAGCATGGTGGCCTCAGAACAGTCAATAGACGTATTTGATTGATGATTGACTTTGACTATCCCATTACTCTTTTCCCAGATTTTTTTAAATTTTTTTCATTGTATTGGCAGGGAGAAATCTAATTTATGGAATCGGTCCTGTACGTTATCTGGATCATTGAATCAGAAGATAACAATTTTCGACCAGTGGATTATTTTGAAATGACAGTAACTTACCAATATTTAAGCAAAACTAATGACTACAAGATTGCTAATGTTATTATATTTTTTCTTGTCGTTGTCAGTGTTATCGTTAATTAAGGAAAATTACGACAGATGAGTATAATTATTCATTGATAAGGCCTTTAAGTTTACGAACTGTGAAGGAGTGTTAAGATCATGGGTGTATGTTGCTAAGAATAGAAAAAAAAAATAGAGAAGAGATTGACCAATGCATATCATTTATTTAATAACACTCAAAGTTCAGTAGGGAATCCTTAAATCATACTTAATCCAATTTAGTTTGTGTACATTTTCAAGAAAAATATGTGATCTTAACATGTGCAATTCACGTGACATTGTATTGGGTATTACGAAAAGGCATAAATCATGTCACATATGATAATACAATTTTAAAATTAGAAAAGTTGGGTTTTGTAATAAAAAAGAATGAACATGGGCAAATTTGTTATTTCAGTACGATTTTCTAACATCTTCAAGATGACAAAACAAAATATTTCCAAACCAAATGCATCACGCGAGTCTTCGGCTAGAAGTACACGCCAAGTTCACAATGCGTGATAATGTGTTAAATTTTGCTGAAGATTGTACGAATATAGACTTTACTTATTATTTAGTACACAAGATTTAATGAATATTTTTCTGTGTTTAGCATTTTGCAATTTTTCCCACTTCGTCTCGTAGTTGAATTCCGATCTTCTAATCTATGCTCCCCTTACCAACTCCAATCTACTTGGCGGCTTGGCCGAGGTTCATTTTGAGCTTGCTGCGAAGCTGCGTCGGGGTGGCCCGGGCCTGCTCAAGGTCGATAGATCTTTAGATTTGTCGCGGTGCATAAAGTCTTCCTTTGTGCTTGTCTCGTACGTCGACCGGCTATGACTTTTCAGCAGACCGTTCCCACACTTTTGCTTCTCTCATACGTCCCATTTTGTGGTCGCTACACCCCAAATCACTCACCTCCACACAATTAGTATGTAGTCGGAGATTTTTCCTTCTCTCATCATCATTATTTGAAAAAACGAAGCAGAGCCACGGGAAGGATTCCTCTCATCTTTATCTATCGTTCTTTTACTTCTCAACTCTAAACACTAGATTTGCTTGACTCCTTCGTGCTCTCTTCTATTGCATAAACTATGTACAAGAATCAACTCCTCCTCCTCCTCCTTTTTCTACATCGATCTTTTAGCATCGCCATCGAAAAAAATCGGTGCACCATCTCTTGTGGCGAGGTCACAAACATAAGCTGCCCGTTTCGGCTGAGGGGCGACCCCAAGAGCTGCGGCGACCACAAATATGAGCTAGCATGTGTAAATAACCGCACTGTTTTGGATTTGTACTCGGGCCAGTACTACGTACGGCACATTGACTATACCAACTTCACCATTAGGATCGCCGATGTCGGGCTGCAAAAGGGCAATTGCTCGTCTCTTCCTCTCCGCTCTTTGTCGTGCCCCGACTTCTGGTACAAACTGGATTGGTGGTATGAATGTGGGCAATACACGTACAAGGGTCTAAAGTTATCCAAGACTGTGGCGATCATGGATTGCACTAAGGTTGTTGATTCTCGATTTAACATCGAGGCTTCCTCATGCCTTGATGGGATCAAATTTTTAAATTCCTCTAGTACGAGAAGGCGAGTATATGCCATGGTCGATGTGAATGTCTCGTATGTGGAAACTTCATGCACTGTAGAGCTTATGGCAATGATACCATGGTGGGCTGATGGCAACAATCTTCGTTCCTATGCGCAAATTCATGATCTGATGGTTTATGGGTTTGAGCTTTCCTGGCTTCCAATTGCTTGTAAGATTTATTGCAAACATTATTATGAGTGCGACATCAGCGGCAAGCACCAAATTCCGTGCAGCTTCAAGAAAGGTAAGGACTTTTGAGTGTGTTCATTTCCTTAAAAAAAAAAAAACAAAATATAGTGAGGATATATTTGGTCAAAACTTATGAAATTTCATTTAAACGTGGAATTGAGCTCTAGTCATATGTATATCTTTTCAGAGCCCATGTGATTTGCAAATGCCCATTAAGATCAAGTACGTAGTTAGGTAAATGCTGTTGTGGTATTTCATATTTATAATAGTAAATACATCATTTATTTAATTCGAATTCCGCCAATAAATCTTAGTAGATTCAACCGATATACTCATTGCTTGAATTTGGTCTAAATAAGCGTCTTCTAGATAACTTCAGCTTTCTCTTGTCGCATGTTCTATCTCTTTTGTGGGAGAAGTCGATTGCCTCTTTGAAATCGTCCAGGCTATGGCGATAATCTCGGTCTATGGCATCGGTAACATTACTACAATCTTCTCATCGTGAAATTAATTTAATGTTTCTAAATAAAAACATTTAACATGCCCACAAATTGGTTATTAGAATTATAACGCACCCACAATTTTCTTGCTTCCCCAAAATTACAGTGCTGTTCATGGTTGTGAAATGCATCTTGGGAGCCCCATGCGTGATGATATTGCTAATACGCAAATGGAGGAGAAGACACTTAGCAATGGATCAAAATGTTGAAGAATTTTTGCAATCTAACAATAACTTCTTGCCGATAAGGTACTCTTACTCCGATATTAAGAAAATCACGGGTCATCTTAAAGACAAGCTAGGTGAGGGAGGGTACGGTTCTGTGTTCAAAGGAAGACTCCGGAGCGGCCGTGAGGTGGCGGTGAAGATTTTGAAGAAAGGGAAAGCAAACGGGCAGGACTTCATCAGCGAAGTGGCTACCATCGGAAGAATTTATCATGTTAATGTGGTTGGACTCATTGGTTTTTGCTTCGATGGCTCGAAACAAGCTCTTGTTTACGATTTCATGCACAATGGGTCTTTGGATAAGCACATTTTTTCACGAGGACAAGGTATTTCTCTCGATTGCAAGGAAGTGTACAAGATTGCTTTCGGAGTGGCTAGAGGGATTGAGTATCTTCATCGAGGATGTGACATGCAAATTCTACACTTTGATATAAAGCCTCACAACATTCTTCTCGATGAGAATTTCAACCCAAAAATTTCTGACTTTGGGCTAGCCAAATTGTATCCCACAAACTACAACACCGTATCTATGACTGCCGCGAGAGGTACTTTTGGATACATGGCTCCAGAGTTGGTCTATAGGAACCTCGGAGGTGTCTCTTACAAAGCCGATGTCTACAGTTTTGGCAAATTGCTGATGGAAATGGCCAGTGGGAGGAAGAATTGGGACGAAGTTGTAGAGTGTTCCGGTCATACTTACTTTCCTTTATGGGCTCATGACCAACTTAGTGCAGGATTGGACATCCCAGTGGAACAAGTTAGCGAGGAGGATAGAAAATTAGTAAAGAAGATGATAATAGTTGCTCTTTGGTGCATACAATTGAATCCTAGCGAACGCCCTTCGATGCACAAAGTCTTGGAAATGTTGGAAAGAGAAGCATATGACCTACAAATACCTCCCAAGCCACTGTTTTATCCAACAGAAATGTCGACAAGGGATGATGGAACTTGGACTGACGAAGGCAATGATACTATGTTCATTTCATCAACTAGTGCAATAACTTGTGAAGATTCTCATCTTCAGTATGCTAGTACTAGTACTGCACAAGTATAGAGACATATTATTACCATTTGATCCCGTGACATACGTGGCAAATAGAAACGTTGTATTGGTAAAGTTTTATGTGTAGCCGGCCTTTCATGGCTATCTTCGGATTGTAAGGCTATCTTCGGATTGTCTATATTTATGACTTTGTTTGTGGATATTATTACGTATGTTTCTTTAGCATTATCACATTAAAGATGACATTAGTTATTCGAATCCATTAGAAAACCTAGTGAGGACTTTCAGCATATGTTACGAGGAGTTGAGTTATCCCGCACATCATGTGGCTTCACGGCATTCCTACGGTCTTTACGAATGATATTGAAAATGACAGATGGAGAGAGATGATAAACAACCACTTCAGTTTAAAGTAGACCTGTCAAAATGGATCTTAAATCCATTTATCAACCCAGAATTGTTGAAATGGGTCATGTATGGGCCATCTCAAATGTGAAGGGTCTAGTCATAATGGGTTCTAAAATGAAAAGTACAAAACATATCAGTTTAAATGGGTAATGTTATGAATCTATTTCCAACTCACTTAAAAAAATGGCTCAATGACTCAAGGCAGCCCATTTAACTGCTTGACGTACAAGATCTCTGACCCAACCCACCTCAACCTGCAAGCCCAATGACTCTCTCTGCTCTCTCTCCAGTCCCACGCCGTCCACCTGCAAGATCTCGCTAAGGATCGCGTAGGACATGCCGCCCCTCGTTGATCTCCTGCGTGAGCGCGTTGTCCCCTCACGTGCGGCGGCAAGGAATCTGATGGGTAAGTACGACTGCACAAGATCAGGCGGTTACTGGGGCGGGGCACGTTTGTGAAGGCGTTCGTTGACGAGGGGCGGGGCATGGTGATCAAGGTGGTGAGCAAGCGGAAGGTGGTGAAGGGGAGATAGCGGCACATGTCAAGCGGGAGATCGCCATCATGCACCGGCTACACCACCCGCGCATCGTGCACCAATTCAAGGTGCTAGTGCCGTGGACGAAGATCTACATCGTCATGGTGTTCCCAAAAGGCGGCGAGCTCTTTGCCAAGTTCGCCGAGGGGCGGATTAGCGTGGACCTCTGCTGTCGCCACTTCCAGCAACTCGTCTCCGCTGTCAGCTACCGCCACTCCCGCGGTGTCTTTTACCGCGAACTCAAACCGGAGAACCTCCTCTTGGACGAGAATTGGAGCCTATGCGTCTCCGATTTCAGGCTCAGCGCCGTCTTGGACCAGGCCCTTGCTGACTGCGTCCTCCACACCCTCTGCTGCAAAGAAAAATCAACGATTAACTAAGTAGTGACCCGTGGTTTAAGAAAGAAAAATCAATAGCTTTTTGCAGATTTCTTTAATTTTTCGTTTATTTATTTTTTTAAGATATATTGGGCTTTTTTCTTTGCTTTTAAGGTGGGTTATGTTAGTGTTCAAAAAAAAAAGGCGGGTTACGTGGATATTTCTGGATTGGGTTAGGGTTCAATTAGACATGGACCATCTAAATTATTTAGCAAATAAATAGATCAATTAGGTTAAAGGGGTGAATTGAATTGACCCCATTTGTGATCTACCTGAACCCAACTCAACTCACATATGTCCCACCTCTAGTTTAAAGGAGGTGGAGTGCAAGACAATTACCCACACATTAGAATAAAGAATCCTCAAAATCATACTTTTAATCACATTTGAATTGTTACATCTTCATGAAAATGTGTGATCTTAACAAGTGCAACGCACATGGACTGCACCGAAACGTGTAAAAGGCATAAATCACATTCTCATTCTCATTCCGATTCTTATTTATCGTTCCCAGCCGTGATCTTATCAAGATTTCTCCTCTTAGATTCCATCTCCACACCCTTTTTTTGTGCAATAGTTTTTCGAATCGCAGTCCAAATCAACACTTGCGTGAGAGAACAAGACCAAGACTAAGATGAAAACTCAATTTGTTTCGCGGAAAATGAATGATTTGGAATACATTTTCCTTAAAATGATCGTTTGTATTATTTATAAAAATAAATAAACGAAAAATATTTTCATCGTTTACAAAAATGTATAAACATAAATTGTTATCGGTAATAAAAATATTTTCCATTGACTAATTATTTCAATCGATACAAGTAATCATTTTAAGAAAAATGTTTTCCCAATCATTTATTTTCCACGAAATAAACGGAGCCAAAGAGAAAGAAGAAGGCAATGAGTGGCGAAGGCGAATTGAAGACTGCGGCACTTGCGCGGTGGGGACGCTGGTGGAGCCACGGCCCCATCCCGCGAACCAGCACGCTGCCACATGGTTCTCCAGCTAGGCTAGCCCCGTGAGCGGCTCAGCCCCTCGCTTCGTCAACCTCAACCAAAAGTGGCGGTGAGAACCCGCACGTCCACGTCTGGTTGATGATTAGGCTTTTAAGAATTGCGTTGATGAGGCCAACGCTTTGTAGGTGTTTGGCCAGTCCGATGAACAGGATATGCGACGCGTTGAACCGGTGTGGGATGAGGTTTGAAGATGCTACGCGAAAAGCAAAGGCGCTCGCGGACAATGTCTGGCATCACCGTGAGTTTTCTCTTCATTTTTTCTTGACAAACATGTCTGTGTAAACAGAGAGAAACATTCCGGATTTATTCGTGGATACATATTTGATTGGTGATTGCTTGCTTAGGCGTGTCAATGGTTCGGTTCTGTTCAGATTTTCAAAAAATCCAAACCGAACCGAACCGTTAAGATGTGTGTATATTTTGATCTGGACCGAGTTCCAAACTGAATATGACTCGAACCGAAAATCCGGTTCGGATCGGTTCGGCTCAGATCGGATTTCGATTTTCTCTCTTTATTATTTTGGCGAGGGGGATGAAATGGGTTTGTCCTTCGACCCCTTCCCTTCGTCCCCCATTGACGGAACCATAGAGGCGTCGAGCAATCTTCTCCAAAGTCCTAACCACCCACCACCGCAGACAGATCCCGACCCATCACCTCCGCCACGCCACTCCTGCTGCCACCGCCACCACCAACAACGGAGGCCTCCTCTCTTTCGGCCACCCACAACACACTGAAACTCAACGCTACATAGCACCACCTCGCGGCCGCCTGCCGCACAGGACCTCGGCGTGTCGTCGTCTCCTTCGATTTGGTGAAGACGCCTCCAGATCTGGAGACTCGATGGGCCAGGGAGGCGTCGAGTATCCAGATCTGGATGCTCGATGGGTCATGGAGGCTCTGTTCCTGAGTTCACACCCAAGCTTTCCCCAAAAGCTGCTTCGGAATCTCGAAAACTTGACATGGTTTCATGCACTTCTTTGCATAGAGAGACAGAGACGGAGAGATTGTTCTTTAAAATACTGAACAAGTTGGTGGTTTTGTTGCAAGAGCCCTTCCTTGCTCCATCTGGAGGCAACTCTGCTTCTGCGTTCTCTCTCTGTTCCATTTGTTAAATTAGAGAAGTAAAAGTCCCGCTTCCACAACTTGATACTCGGAAACAAAAGCCAATGGAAAAGGAAGAGGCGAGACGGAGCCATTATGGAAGAGAGAAAATGGCTAATAACTGATGGGAGGGAAGAGAGAGCATCGAGAAGAGGAATCACAGAGAGAAGTAGTAATGCAATTTTGCAGCTTTGCTCTGAGGAGAGAGAGGAATTAATGAAGGTGGCTCTATTAAGAGACAAAAAGCTCGGTCGGAGATGAGGACGAAGAGAGAGACGGACACTCATAATAAAAAACCGAATTCATATTGGTTACCTGAACCGAGCCAATCCAATCCGAATTGAATCTGCCAAAAAACAGTTTATTTTCCCGTAACCCGAACCGAAATAAAACCGAACCGAAAAATTCAAAATTTTCGGTTTGGTTCGGCTCGATTTCAGTTTCGGTTCGGGTTTCGGTTCGGTTCTTGACACCCGTGCTTGCATATATTTCTTGTCTGTTTCCGCAATATAAGATAGCGCATGATAACCATTCTGGTTCTGTCCAGAACTAGTTTTTTGTTCCCAGAAACAGTTTTGGAACAGAAACCCGTTTGGTAATGCAATATCATTTTTCTATTTCTGGGAGAACTTTTTGTTCCATAACCGATTCTGAACCAGAAATCAGAATAAAAAAAAAAGTAAGTTTTCTATTTCTAGACCAAAAATGAGAATTATTTCTGAGAGAACTTTTTCTTCAAAACACATGTTCATCTGGAAGTCACGATCTTTGAGGTGGGAAAAAAAAATCAAAAAATCAAAATTTTCAAAACTTCACAGAATGGTTTAGAATTTGTGGCTACCCACTTTGAGCGAAATTTAAATTATTTTAGGTGCCGAAAAAAATAAAATAAAAAATTTCAAAATTTCAAAATTTCAAAATTTCGCAAAATGGCTTAGAATACCTATGGACACCCACTTTGAGCGAAATTTAATTTTTTTTAGATGCCAAAAAAAATAAAAAATAATCAAAAAATCTAAAATTTAAAAACTTCACAGAATGTCTTAGAATACCTGTGGCCACCCAATTTGAGCGAAATTTAATTTTTTTTAGGTGCCAAAAAAACTTTAAAAAAGCAAAAAATAAAAATTTCAAAACTTCACAGAATGGCTTAGAATACCTGTGGCCATCCACTTTGAGAGAAATTTTAATTTTTTTATGTGTCGAAAAAAATAAAAAAATAAAAAATTTCAAAACTTCACAAAATGGCTTAGAATACCTCTGGCCACCTACTTTGAGCGAAATTTAATTTTTTTGATGCCAAAAAAAATAAAAATAAGCAAAAAAGTAAAAATTTCAAAACTTAATAGAATGGCTTAAAATACCTGTGGCCACCCACTTTGAGCGAAATTTTATTGTTTTTAGGTGCCGAAAACAATAAAAAAAAGCAAAAAATAAAAAATTTCAAAACTTCACAGAATGGCTTAGAATACATGTGGCCATCCACTTTGAGAGAAATTTAAATTTTTTTATGTGCCGAAAAAAATAAAAAAATAAAAAATTTCAAAACTTCACAGAATTGCTTAGAATACCTGTGGCCACCTACTTTGAGCGAAATTTAATTTTTTTTAGGTGCCGAAAAAAAATAAAAATAAGCAAAAAAGCAAAAATTTCAAAACTTCACAGAAT